CGGATAAAAATACCTACGTGTTTTTATCCGATTAAAATTCTTAAAACCATTTAATCAAAATTAGATAAAAATAATATAACATTTTTATAAACTTTAATTAACATCTATACTTAATATGCTTAGGTATTCTTATTGAATCAAGACTATTATTATTACAAATGAAGTGAACTCATTTTTACTCATTGTTTAAATTGCAACAAACTGCAAATCTACTTCTATATAATTACGAGTAAGTGAATTTTTGTTATACTGTTATGCTTTTGACCTATTCATATTCAATTTTATGGTTGTTCATAGAAACTAACAACTGACGCTAAAAGTTCCAAGTTGCAACGAGGAAGCCATGCTGCATTTATTCTAATTATATCCTCCCTCCCTTTTCTATTTGCCCATTCCCATGTTTACTCGAAAAGACGCATCGGAGCGTGGGTGCGCGTTTAACTAAATTAGGGAGCAGAGAGAGACAAAAACACAGATTTTATCTATGAAATCTTTGTAATAGAAAGAGAGAAAGAACTTAAACATTCAGTCAATACATTAGATGTTAGGGAGTTGTGGAATATCTATTATGTGAGTACTCATAGATATCCTAATACAAGTACGAATACGTGATAACCGATGCCCGCTTTCTAATTTACGGCTCGTATGACGAAATACAAATACTGAACACTAAACATTTTGGAGCTTCGTCAACAGAAAGTTAAGTGATACTTAAATGTACATAGGAACGCTGTTATACTTATAAATGGACTTTTTAAATATCATAGATACTGTATAAGTAGTATGATAAACAGTGAATCTATATGTGTATTTGTTATTAGAAATCAATATTTATTAAACCTGATTTATAAATAACTACTTACTATTGTTTAATAAAATACATTAGTTCCATTAGTAATTATAGTCGTAATAATGTTTTGTATCTATAAATATATACACATTCATATACGTCTGGGTGCGATACACATAAAATATATTTATGATTAGAGCTACGTTCCTCCCAGTTTAACACTCTAATTAAAAGAAATAAGCAAAGATTGTTACAAAAATTATAGCAACGTTCCAGAAGCGACTCATCTGTCGGCACTCCGGATGCCACGCTTACATCGGCGGATGTAAACACTTCCACGTGCGTCCGCCCGCGCCCTCCCAGATCATCCGAATGGGATGGGTTCCGACACAATCCCCCTTGACGCCGTGTCGATTAATGTTTACCTATCTGTAAACTGAATTACTTTTATTCTGTACTAAAAACCGGGGGAATTAATATGAGCTATGTCCATACGAAATAACATACCTTTCAAATATTGCAGTGTAACTATGTCAATCATGTGCCAAATTTAAATGTTATGGAATTATTGCATGATTGTTGCAATCTAATATAATTAATTTGGTACGTAGTATATTGATAATTTTATTAAGAAACATTGATAGTCAGAATGTTACATGAACTGACTTTGACTATAATAAATTGAGAGATATCAATAAAGTAAAAAATGTAAGCTATTTATCTAAGTCGTCAAATGGAATATTAGAGGTCTTACTACTCTGAGCATACATAACATTATACTAATATTATAAACGCTAATTTTAAAGCTTGTGACAGCGGATTTAGATGGAAATTTACAGTATCAGAATAATACATAAGTAGACTGTAATTTAAAAAAATAATACGTAAATTGGGCGAAATATAAACATAAATGTCAAGTAGGTATGATGCAGACGAAGTTACGCGGCGGGTAAGCTATTATATTATAGCAACATATTTGAGAACCAACTCTCAAATTTTATTTTATTTTATAAATCATATTAATTTCAACACAAATTGCACTGTTAACGACATGTAATAAGTTCCCACATCGTCATGATGACGTGAAAATGTCAATTTTCACCGCGCGATTTCTATTTCAATCCAATTTTCCCGGCGCGCGGAGAAACCGATCGCTCCAGTTGTGCGAGTGCGGCCCACATCTCTTGCTAGAAAGTATCATAGAAAGTAACGTGGTAAGCCGATCTCCGCCCAATGGATGCATCGATCACGTGTACAACACTTTTTCTGCATCAGTTTTACTACTTTATTAAAGTGAAGATGGCCGTAGTCAGGGTTACCAGATGCTAAAAATTTTTTAACATGTGAAATTGGAAATCAATGTAATGGATGCATTACAAATCTTTAAATTTCTCGGCTTGTTCTGTACTATAACACGCATATATTAAACATATGAACATTTCTCTTTAATAACTCTGTCTATAGCTGAAAGCTACATTAAAATGCGTTGAGTACTTTCAAACATAAAAGCGAACAGACAGCGGCGGCGACTTTGTTTTATAATATGTAAAGATAATAATTTTTGTAACTGCTGGTCGTTTAAAAAAGTTGTATAGTTAATCTGATAACCCTAGCGGTCTGTACAACAGTCACGTCACTTTTTATTAATTGGAGAGCTAGGTTTTCGCAATACTACGTGCGTTGGCGATGATTCTTCTACTAAATCAAGTTGCACAATAATAGAGAATGCGGAATGTTTGGTCCACAAATGATTCGGTGACGCATGACAACCACGAAACATGCGCCTATGCGTTGTATTGAGTGCTTACTTTCGCCACACCCAAATTTATTACGTGTGCTGTGTATGTAGTCTTGTGCAATACCTACTTTTGGCCAACTTTCACTAGACACTTACGCGGCACGCCTGCAAAATTATTGCGGTGCCTCTTTTCTGAGGTCACAGTGAAAGTATTTTATATTACATATTTAATTGAAGCATCGTGTTTCACAGCACATATTTTTGCAGTTCATAACATGTTAAAAATGAAGTGATATTTATAGACAGCGTAAATTATATAAAAATTAAAAACAAATCTAGCAGATCTTAAGCAAAAACTATACTCGCGTGAGAGGAAAAACGAGTTATTATTAGTTGGTTGAGAATTGCGAGTTTGCTTCAAGCTCTGATGCTATCATAAATAATGTGGCTGTGCGGTGAGCGTAGCGGAGGAGCAGGAGGGAGGAGGCAGGGCCTCAAGAGTCAAGGCCGCACGCTGCCCCCGGTCGACGCTCGCGTCCCACTTGTCTCAGCCGCTCTCGCTCGTTGAGCCGACCGCGACCGAACCCCGCCGAAGCGGCACGAACTAGACCTTCCAATGCGCGAGCGCAACACACTGAACAGCTGAGACGTAATAACATAACACACTGACTCGGTCATCCGTGCGTTCAACTTTTGATTAGCTTTCTTTTTCACGGTTAATGAATATTGTTGATACTAATTATGGATTACGACTGCCGGGGTTAAGATAACTAAATATTTTACATAAATATAAACTGAAATAATTATCTTTAACTTAAATATTATTATAATCTTTTATTGCTAATAATATAATATGAGTTTACATAAATATTTAATAATTTTTAAATTGACGGGTGTCTCGGTGTTTTAATTTGATAAAATATAAAGTTCGTTACTTATAATGTTTAACCTCATTACATAAACAATAAGTTTATTTTTAACGTTAACAAAGTTTTAATGCGATATATAATACAATAATAGTCTGCACTTGACCCCTTTTAAAAATCATACGTTTGGCCGAGCCGCTCCCTTGGTAGAAGGCAGTTTTAGCAAATATTGACATTATAATAGTTGAATTGGCAAACGCTAAAGTAAACAAGGTCGATGGATTTAGGCAAGTAACGAGAAAAATAGATTAGGAATCATTAAAAGTATATTTAAAATTCTTTTATAGATCTATCAACGATACTAAAACTGTTAACTAGTTTTTAATGAACTGTTATACTGTCTAATTTGCCCGCGGCTAGACTTTTTTCTTCTATTCCTTTGGTAACTTCACTATATTTGCTAAAACTATGTTTTATTATATACATAATATACCGATATTAAGTTACTATATTCAAGATATAAATATTGTAGAACTAGTTTGATTATACGCACATAGGACGTCAAACGTTAAACGTTACATAAGTGACCAGTGGTGTAGTTACGTTAATTACTTATTATCAGTCGCCCTACATTAATTATAGTGTGGGTTCGACCTTATGGAGGGCAAGGCGAGGACGATTAAGCTGGCTCTGATCCCACGTGGAACTAGTTTTTTTGGCAGCAGCTATTTTGGCTGGTTGCGTAACGCAGGTACTTCGGACCGCGGCCAGCGACCCGCCTGGCGCGCCTTAATGGACACAATAAAATGTAAATAAAATTAATGACTAGAGAAGCTTAAATGGAGCTTACTTTGACTGATGATACGCAAACTTTCCTATTTGATATATTTAAAATGTTTTTACTGTACCTTTAGTTTTACCCGAAATTTTAAATGCCGAATGTCCTTTAAACACGTACGAATTTACGCACCTTTATTTAACACAATAAACGAAACACAAAAAGCGGAAACATTAGGAACCTAATGCTTTAAAACAGGATACACAAGTAACTAAATACAAAGTGTACATCGCAAAAACGTGATTATCATAGCATAACACTGTTAAATCGTTTAACAGAGCTAACATTGTTGGATGAAGATAAAGTACTTTAACAAATTCCTCGGTACCCTCTAACTTAGAGTTCCGACTGTGTGATTGACAATTACCGATTACATTTCCAACGCGCATCGCACACCCTGCTCTCGTCCACGCTGGGAATACTAAATTCAAACATCCAAAGTCATCAGTATGCGGACGATAGCTCTAACCACCTTTTGTTTGAGCAGGAAACGTACACTATACCGCCGAAAATCACTTGCGAGTGTGATACGAAAACATCTCTTCGCCGAAGAAACAGTCCAAATTTTTAAAATGAAAAATAAAACGGCTCGCTCGTTCGCCAGCTCGACAAATGGTTCATGAAATGTATGCAAATTTTATAGCGTCCGATTTTAGATATTCTCGACACTCAACGCCCCTGGCCACCGGGCTCAATCTTCATTTATTGCGCAGTTGCATTTTAGCGTGCAACAAGGAATACTAAAGTTTTATTTATGTTTTATTACAGGTCGAGAGGATTTGTCACCGGCATCGAGTGTAAATGGATGTAGTTCAGATGCGCGGCGACAAAAGAAGGGACCCGCGCCACGTCAACAAGAAGAGTTATGCCTCGTCTGCGGTGATAGAGCTTCAGGATATCATTATAATGCGCTCACATGTGAAGGATGCAAAGGTATGTTTTTTTTTTAATTAAAAGTCTAATTGATTTTAGTTCTATAATATATAATATAACCTCAAAACTGCCGAATTAAAATTAGTCTATATAAATTGAACTTTTTTGCTAAATTTCTTATCAATCATGGTGCCATAATGCCTCCAGCATTATGGCACCATGATATGATCGCTTTCACATTTAAAATATTAATAAGTTAAATTTGTTATATTTCACTACACATGTATTTATGATCTGTATTTCTATAATTTATACTTTCATACTTATGTATCTATTCAGGTATAAGATATAAAAACTGGAATGATTAATGGTTGATGAATAATTTTGACAATTGTTATTGTACTTTATGGAAATGAATCGACTCTATTCTCCTGCTGATTGATATTACTGAATACTATTAGTGTCCTTGTTTAGTCTTAGCGATGTTATAAATTATGTTTTCAAATTGAATTATTGAATTCAAGTAGATGAATTAGTCGTAAAAATAAGTTAATGTAATATTAAAACTTTAGAGTTCTTCATTTTCGAACTAGAATAGTATATCTGGTATACGTCCAATTGTAATGTAGAGTCCTGTTTCGATATCGTACTCATAGTTCGTAGTCGTTGGTCGCCCACGATCGTGCCAATTCAGTGTTGAATTAGCGTATTGTGCCATGAGAGGCAGTTACGAGCTGCGCGTGCATATCTTACACGTGTTGTCGAGACCAACGTCACAATAACTGTCTACAACGTGTCTGCAGCTCATGATCTTGATTCACGTGAATCGTACATCACTTCCAACCTTCACCCATAGCCTGAACACATAGTAAATTTACATATACCCTATCTATAGATTCTCAGATACAATACACTGAACAAACTCGTTAGTTTCCGTTGAAAACAACCTATAATCTATATGTAGCGCGTTGTACAATTATGTCCAATTCAAACAATTTACACGCTATCTATCTTGTTTATTTTGTACAATAAAAATCGACATTTGTGCCTACTGAACTAGCAGCAGTGCTGTCAATGACCTCTGCTTTTTATTACGAATTTACACATATATAGTAGGTAATAGGTACCTACTATCCTATATACATCCTATATAATTGTAATCCTATCTTATCTCTTACACGTGTATATAATTTATATATTTAATAATTTTTTATTATTCAATTTAATCTTAAAAATGCGAAAGTGAATATGTCCACGATTAAACTTCTTCAGTAATCGTAAAGCAAATATACTATGACATTCTGACTCTTCCGTTATTAAAGTAGGTAGTGAAACAGTTTCAAAGAAGCTTCCCAGACGTAGCCTTAATTGTAAGGTGAATAAATATTCAAGTTGTTTGCAAATTGGAACATATATGTATAATCTTAACACCTCATATATTGTTTTAAGTAACAGTCCATTTATATATCAAAAGTTCCAACCCTCATATGGTCAAAATCTCAAAAGAACCACATTGCAGGTCAATGTCTCAAAAGTGGACTACACCGCATATTGATAACTAATAAATATTTTAATTGGTTATTTCTTGTAAGCGTAAGAACCAAATCGCAGGTCAACGTCTCCAAAGTGGTTGAAGGTACAAAATAATAACTGATAAATTATTTATATAATAGTAATACCAATTTCATAAATATGTGTCGAAAATATTTTAATTGTTTTTTTTTTATCTTTCAGGATTCTTTAGGCGGAGTGTTACCAAAAATGCGGTATATATATGCAAATTTGGTCATGCGTGCGAAATGGATATGTATATGCGGCGGAAATGTCAAGAGTGTCGGTTAAAAAAATGTTTGGCAGTGGGCATGAGGCCAGAGTGTGTGGTTCCGGAAGGCACGTGTGCACTGAAAAGAAAAGAAAAGAGGGCACAAAGAGAAAAAGACAAACTGCCGGTCAGCACAACAACAGTAGACGATCACATGCCACCCATAATGCAGTGTGATCCACCACCCCCAGAAGCAGCAAGGATTGTAAGTATCATTCATGTAAATCATAGGCGAACAAGTTACTATACAACGTTTTTGTTATAAACGAATACTGAAATAAATATTTGCCTGATTTCAAACTTTCTATTTGATTTTGTAATTTGAGTGGCAATCGAACCTATATGGTAATCTATTATGATAGCAATCATAGCTTATATAGATGAAGAGCATCATGAAAATCACGTCGTAATTCTGCACCTGTATTACCTCATATCGTTAGTATTAGGATAATCATTGCCATTTCTGAAGACATAGGTATATTGCCCCCGTACGCTGTAATTTCACTCAAAGCAACAGAACTAAGATAGAGGAATTCTTACACAGACAACTTTGTGCATAGACTTGTTCAATTAACAATTAAGTATCTACTGCTCATGTTAGCCATAAGTTAATGTTAATCGTTTCATGATGAAGCGAATTAACGTATCGGTTTCCAACGTGAAGCTGGAATGTTTACAGCACGAAGTGGTCCCGAGGTTCCTCTCCGACAAGCTGTTGGAGCAGAATCGGCTAAAGAACATCCCTCCCCTGACCGCAAACCAGCAGTTTTTGATCGCGAGGCTCGTCTGGTACCAGGACGGATACGAGCAACCATCAGAAGAGGATCTCAAGAGGGTGACACAGGTAAGATCATCATAATTATCGACGGCTTATTATTGATAGTCTTTAGTACACCGCTTTACTTCTTACGATCTCGGGTTCATCAAAGGATACGTTTATATCCATGAATATAATTGATTAAAGACTAGATGACGCTGTGTGAATTGTGTTATATTATTATAGACCCAATGTCAGGCACAACAGCTAGCTTTATTACTACGTTACCCACGCGCTTTTATTATTTAGAAGTTATCTTCCCTTGTACTGCATGGAAATATCCAGAGATACAGTCGAATCTTGCGATTAGTTAGATTAATAAAAATCTATATTTCATTAGTGATGTCTGTTGTTTAATTCGACTATGTTGTTATTTATAGACGTGGCAACAGACAGACGAAGATGATGAAGAATCTGACATGCCGTTCAGGCAGATCACTGAGATGACCATCCTCACAGTGCAGCTAATAGTGGAATTCGCGAAAGGACTGCCAGGCTTCTCCAAAATTTCACAACCAGATCAGATAACGTTACTAAAAGTAAGTGAACAAAATACATTTACTTTATTAAGTATATATATTGCTAATGACATTATTTTTTGTAATGATAATTCTACTAAATGTATTGTGTGGAATGACGAATGCTTTTGTACATATATATATGAGATATATAACATAAAAATCATTTTAAAAGCTCCCAATATTTCGACGCTGTTACAAACTTCCTAGGCTTATCTCTTTTATATAATGGTAAAAAAACATTAAAACAAGAACGCTTGTCAAAAGAGTTTTATAAACGTGCATGGCAATATCTGGTCATCCACGGGCTAAAAGAGTACACAATGTATATAAACTGGCTTTAAAAAAATGGAATTCAGTTGAGTAGTTTTGCCAGTTCTTCTCAATTGAATCTGTATACTGAACTGCACGGTTGGAAAAAATATTGTATTACAAATTTGACGTTCATAACCGGCTAAAATGAATAAATTATTTTTGATTTTTTTGATCACTCATACTATTACCCCATAAATACATTTGATTTACATAATCAGGTTTCTCATACATGTGATACCTACTTTTATAGATTTAGTTTTTAAGATATATCGTGATAAGAACTACAGTTCCATTTCGTTTGTCTACCAAAACTAGCAATTCACTAGGATATAGTCATTAAACATCATACATATTCTAAAAATATTTTTATTCATAATAATAAAAGAAATATTCATAACATAGCATCTATCTAAGTTTATATATATATACATATATATGTTGTATAGGATATATATAATGTAATATGTTCAATAAACATAAAATTTAACATTATTAATCTCTTTATTAATATTCATTGTTTTTACCTATTAAAGAGACTTACAAAACCTACCGATAGAATTATAACTATCATTATTAATAACGTAGTATAAATATCTTTTATATTACAGCAATGCACAAGCAATGTGCGCAAAAATGACTAATTTTTATTCTTAGAAAACACGTAATTCATGTACTATTAAATTGATATCAACCATCGCTGTTGCACACTAGGGTCTTTGATATATATAAACAGAATTATCTATTTACAATATTATGTAATTTAAGGAAATCTGAGAAATAAGCAAACCTCTACACACCACTATCTACGACTATTGATATATAATCTTCATATTTCTTACTACGATGTATTGTAATTATTGTATAATGATTAATATTGATTAAAAAAAGTAATTAGAACAAAGTAAATACCTTGCTATAAATAATATAATATATTATAATTATATAATCTTTTTTAAATTAAATAAATATATATGGATAGAATATGCTTTATTTGCAATATACACTAAAAAAGGACATTAGTAGTATATTCAGCTACACATGTATTTATATGGTGGCCTTATTATTGAAAGCAAACTTTTCAAGGGAACCTTAGGGAAACGGACAAAATCAAGTATAATACAAAATCGCTTAATTTTAGGAAATTTTCTAAATTAAGTTATTTTTACATGAATTATAATCATTGTTTATCGCATACGATGATATGTATGGAAAGCAAAATAATCCCAGTATAATTAAATTATCATACAAAATTGGAGAAAAATATTATTTACTTAGGTCGGTTATATTTACATAAGAGTTCTTAATAGTATATCTTTTTCAGGCTTGCTCAAGTGAAGTGATGATGCTGCGAGTGGCGCGGCGGTATGATGCCGCGACGGACAGCGTTCTGTTTGCAAACAACCAGGCGTACACCCGCGACAATTATCGTAAAGCTGGCATGGCCTACGTCATCGAAGACCTGTTGCATTTCTGCCGGTGCATGTATTCAATGTCCATGGACAATGTACACTACGCCTTACTAACAGCTGTCGTCATTTTTTCTGGTAAGTACTTAGTGATTTTCGTATATCTCAATTATTAAAACATTAATATAATAAATTTGGATCTCTGAATATCCGAACTAAAAACTTCTAACAATGCAAGGTTAGTACGGTTAATTACAGGTTTTTGTTTGACATTTTAAGTAAAGCTAGCTAGCCAGCTTCTATAATATTTAGAACAGCTAGCTAGATATCATTATATCTTATATTAGTTAGATAAATTATTCTACCAGTATTGAAGACTGCTATTTATTGACATCAACATTATATGTCATATGTGAGTAAAACGCCATTAACTGTGTTTATATAATATCTTTTCAGACCGACCAGGCCTCGAGCAACCGCAACTAGTTGAGGAGATCCAGAGATACTATCTGAACACATTGAGGGTGTACATCTTGAATCAGCACAGCGCGTCGCCGCGGTGTGCGGTCATCTTCGGGAAGATCCTCGCGGTGCTCACAGAGCTCCGCACACTCGGTATGCAGAATTCCAATATGTGCATCTCGCTCAAACTGAAGAACAGGAAGCTGCCGCCGTTCCTGGAGGAGATTTGGGACGTGGCGGACATGTCGACGGCGCAGCCGCCCGTGCTGGATCCCTCCACAGAGCTCTAGCCCTTGCGCGGCCTCGGCGCCAAGCTGCCCAAACCCGCCCCCGCACCCGCCGCCGCCCCCGCCGCCGCCGTCGTCGCCGCCCGCGGCCTGCTGTGACCACACCGGACTACGCATGTAATCCTCTGTGCGCAGACGACGAGTGACGAGCGACGAGCGGCCGACGGCGCGCCCCCGAGGAGAGAACGCTCATAGACTGGCTAGTTTAAGTGAAGTGCTCGGACACACAAGTCGGACGTGATGAAAGTATTTATAAGGATTGTGCAAATTTAACCACTTAAGAGGGCACCCCGCCCGATTTCGTACGTATTCGGTGACCGACGACGATGATGTGCGAGAGATAAGTGAATATATGTGTTGTTGAACGTTTGGAGAATATATATAGTGTTGATTGTTTGCAGGCCCGGCGCCGGCCCAAACGACCTCGTCTCGTTTTGGCTGACGCGTGTCTCGGGTCCAAGTTTTTTCGTTTACGACTGGATACTGAGTTGGTCACTCGGATACGACTGTATGATAAGACTACGTTCGATAAGTACACCTCCTAAATTACAGATACGTACATACTACGAGAGTTATAAATTTAAAGTAATATATGAGATGTTTCTATTGGGTGAAAAGTTGATATGTTTATTTACCAAAATTAACTATATGTTGATTAACATTTTCGATTAATATATAATGTGATGAGTGGTTCGCGAGGTAACGTCCCGCGGTTAGTTTGGCCGCCTGTAGTACTAGATTCGAGGCTGAACTGGTGCTAGTAGGAGTGGATCGAATCTCATCGTCAGTGCGGCGGTGGGTGCGCCTGCGCCGCTACTACCGGCGGACGTTACTGTCGGTGATATATGCCGCGGTGTTTGTTTATATATAGTTTATGTCAGACGTGTTATCGTGTCCCGTCGATTTTAGTTCCGATTCATGTTCCATTGTCCTGTGCCCACGTCCCTCTAGTAAACGAGTAATTATAATTTATTATCGCTGTGATTACATTTATAACATGTTGAATTATCTTACGTAGGCTGAAATAAGTGTGTCTTATTACGTATAAAACTGTCATGCGGAGCTTTCACGAAAGAAAATTATGTTGTTGTTTTGAATTTTTTAATGATTCATACATACTTCGCATTTTACACTTACGTACTGCAGTGTAGCGTCCGTGTTGCATTGTGTGCCACTGTGCTGTTTGTATGATTCGTTTAGATTAGGCAAGCTGCAGGACCAGCTAATGTCACTTACCACTTGCTGTAAGGCCAAATGTTACAAGAATGTCTGTGCAATTTATTCCATAAGCATAAAATAATAATAACACATTAAATTATATGGACTATGTGTACGTGTCACATTATCTAAATTATACTCGTACATAGATATAAGGAGGCAGGTTTGGTTAGAAAATCCCAGTTTTGTATTTATTGTCGGATATTAGGTATATAATAGTAATTTATTTATATGACATTGCGTGCAAGTATTAAGGCAGCTGTTATGTAGGCATGAAATTAGAAAGTTCGTAGGTTCAGTTCTGTTCGGCTTTAATTTACTTATACGTATTCTATATAGGACACGACAAGAAACCTTTAATTGTATAATGAAATTAAAGTACAAAATGGCAGCTAATTTATAAAAGATTTAAAATATAAACTACAACTGTATTTGGCCGAGCTTACTATGGGAACAATATTGGTGTAGTAGACACTGCAATTATACGGTTTTTGTGCACGCAAATTGTCACCACGCCCAATGCGTATGGCCAAATCTGTCTCCATGAAAGAAATGAAACTATAAATGTTATTCTTGAACATTGAAAACTGCCCATGAAAGTTATTACAATCCATATTATGATATGCCTTATTTCGCGTTACCTGTATTGTGTACCTACATTGTTGATGAGTGGGAAATCATAGTATATAGAACCTAAAATTAATCGATCTCAATTACCCATAAGCGTTGTTAAGCGGTTTTCCGTCGCCGGGCATTCTTCGTTACGGTAGCTCATTCGGCGACTCCATCTGTTGTACAGTGTGTGTCTCAAAGCCTCCGATGTTTGTTGCAAGATGTAGAACACCAATTTATCGCGTCGCGTCGCATCTTCGTGTTCGCTGCGTCGACACAAATCGACGATTTCACCATCCATACATTTTACACGTTTAAGGAGTAATTAAGTGTCTGTTCGGTGCGTGTTGAATGTGTCTTCTTTACATGCCATTAAGTGTGTTGTATATTTACATAATCGGTATGCATGCGTCTTTTGGAAATGCATTTCTTAATATACGTATAAAATTCAGCGTGAAACGATCGGGCTTGCACCGCGGACCGCGCGCTAGTCCGCTTCAATACATCTTTTCGACATATATATAATTTTATTCTAGCAGTAGGCGATTCTAAAATAGATATTGATGCACAAAACGTCACTGGAGTGTCTTAGGGGTCTCTGCTGTTATAGGGGCGTCTTCATAACGAACACACTGCCATTATGAACGTATATACGTGACGGATCTATTATGCGTGAGATGAGATCCGTCGAATCGCGGTCAGTAGTTAGAGTTGATCTATCCCGCATAATGTACGCTACGATGCGATGCCTTATAACTGAGATGTGGTCGTAAAGCGTGTGCGGCGAGTACACGACCTTTATTTACTTACGTCTACATCAGAGGTTTGTGACAAATATAACTGCCATTGGATAAGTAATTGTTAATACTTACATCATTTGAACGCGTAGTTTCATGTTAGCTTCATAGTTTTCGGTACCCGTCGGTGCACAGCCGGTCGTATTTGATACATATTATTCAATTTCGAAATTGTAATAGGTTTATTAAGTATAATAATCTCACATGAGAAACTAATAATTAATGAGATACCCTAATATAATTTGTGTCTTTAGCTAATAATGAAACATTAGTAAGATGATAAGTTTATATCGCTTATTGGGATAATGATGTAAAAGCGAGACAGCACACTTGAGCACCCGCTGAGTCAACATGTGGAAGGGAGAGGGGGAGATGTAACGACAAGACTGGCCGAGGAAGTACGATGTTCGACTGTTACAACCTGTTGTCCTTCAATGCCTTTTGAATCTACATTTTTATTAGTTTTTATGTACGGAAGCACTAAGTATTGTAGTGACCAAGCGTGGCACGTCCAGTCTATTAAAATGATGGACTTAATTCGGGAAAGTCTACATAATAATGTCCATTAACTTTGTATATAGATACCTTTAGATTCTATTGTCATATGTTTGACATATGTACGTTTAATTTTATTCATCTAAGAAAGTACAGATGGCTGTTGTTATTTTTATATTATTTGGGTAGAAGTATATTTTTTGTAAATGACCTCTGTATTTATCTTTTGTAAACTTTGTAAGCCATAGGGACTTAGTATAGTGTACGAGCTACGAACATTGTGATTGCTAATTTCAATTGAATTTGTATTTACCTATCATTTGTTCTGCGTATATATTCTTTGTTTCGACAGATTTTTCTTAATAATTTTGTTACTTCAGAGTGCAATATGTACAAATATTTACATATTAAATATAAATTGTACAGTCAATTTTTAGTTTTAATGTGTCTATGCAATATCCTTTTATTCATTCGTTGAATGTACACTAAAAGGCATAATAAATATATCACAAGTGAGTTGCGATGCAACATTCACTATCACTATTGTGTTTCTAATACTTAAGCGATTAATTTTATATAGGAGGACTAGGTGATTTTTGTATTTAAATTTGCTAATTTTTTTGTAGCAGATTAGATTTGTTTACATTGATAAGATGAATAATGTACATTTTGAATTGATTTTTAAAGTGATTTAGTTGTTATTTAGTAACGAATTTTGTTAGGTGTAACTGGGCAACATCGCGAGGTGGCACTTAGCCGCTTCGTCGCCTAGATGCCTAGCCGCCTAGCTAGCCGATACCAGTGCATCGAGAGCAATGTGCAATGTCCGTATAATAATCAACTGCATTCGCTGCAGTATTTCTGTCATATTTCCGATACTTGCGCCAGTTACACTGCCATCCGCTAACATTTGGCATCTCTGTGTTCTGAGATTGCATTTGTTCTGTACGTCATTTTATTTTTGGAAATAGAACGCCGTACACCTATGGTGGACTAACAATTTAATGTAATATAAACCATGTTGTGTACGTCATAAGTAGTATTTATGCGGCCTTAGATCTTTCCTAGTTTTCATAATGACATTTGATTATACAACTGGCGTACAGAACAAAAGAAATTCAATATAGATGTTTGTACACTACTAAGGCCAAGTTTTTATACATTTCTAGTGCCACGTGGAACGTTGGGAATGCTGACATTACGCTCTAAGGGCCCATTCCGTGTTCGTTGTAACACATTATTGTATATTGTTTTCATATTTTTTTTAGTCGACAGTAACAATTTTTTTCTTCCTATTACTTTGCCTTAGTAACTACTCTGTTATCTTATGATTTAACTACAGCGGTGAAGCAAATTAGATATAGGGAACAGACATGACGATATGTTAAAATTTTAGAGAGTCAACTTTTATAAAAACTACAAAAATAAACCATGAAAAGGTGTGTACAAAATGAGGAAATTTGTATGAAACATTGTTATGCGAATAAACTTACACCAGAAGATAAAAATATATTCATGCCTTTTATTTACCCCTTCTGTTATAAGTATTAAGTAATTATAAATTTGGCTTTCTTTGAATTTTTATTTCTTTTTCTTTCTTCATTAATAAATTGATTTGAAATAAACAAATACCTACTAAAGAATCGATCTCACTGATGTGATTCAATCAGATTTAATCGCTGTACCTATTTCTTAGTACATTGCAAACGTATATTCCATGCAGTAATAGTTTTCCTCAACGATTGTCTTATATAATCTTTGTGCATAATTACGAGCTTCTACATTACGAATTTGTGCATAATTATTAATTGTGCACAATTATTGAGCCCACAGTACGGACGCACATAAATTACAATTAAAAAATACGTATACATAAACTTTATAAAACAGATATTATACAATTAAAATAAAAATAATAATATCTAAGAGAAAAAGTATATAAATAAGAATAAGGAAAATTATAATAATCGTAAAACATTAGATATATACATAATGGAGAAAAGAAAACAAACAATATTTAAAAAAATACCCACAGTGACGCGTACTGTTCATTTTATGTATTCTAATAACGGTATCGTAGTATTAAAATAAAAACATCCATAACACTTGCTCTCTGGTACCAGCAAATAGTTTGAACCAAGGAAAATGTCGCCACCCACGCGCCTTTAGTGAATCCTTTATCGTTAGTATCAATTTTTTTTTTAACTTGTAGCAAATGCTTAACTTTAAAATGCTTTCGGAAAGTATATTTTGTTTTCACTTCACGTATAGGTGGTGGGAGAACATTCCATGTTTTTGACGCCGCTATTTTAAATGATCCGTTATTAAAATATGATACCGTTTTAAGTATAGAAAGGATCATCATTGCTAGTACAATATACGAAGGACGTCACATGATATCGTGGTGATTTTCATGTAACTAAGTATGTAGGCGACGGTTACCACTTACCATCAAGTAAGCCATCAGCTTGTTTGCCATACGTAAAATAGACATAAATATCACACACAACGTCTATGTGACAGGCTTTGCGGCGTGATATTGCATCTCTGTGCATTTTCTACCGCATATATCACGGAGAGTGTTCTGAGGAATTGTTCGGATTAATACCAGCTGCTGAGTTTCACCACCGTACCACCCGCCAGAAACTGAAATACCATCCTGATCATGTGGATGAATGGCGGTCTTCCACAGTGCAGTTTTATAGAAACTTTTTGCCTCGCACAACCACATTGTGGAGTCACCTTCCAGCAATGGTATTTCCGAACCGATACGACATTGAAACCTTCAAGAAAAGAGCTTATTCCTTTTTAAAAGGCCGACAACGTACTTGCAATTCCCCTGGTGTTGCGGGTGCTCATGGGCGGCGGTAATCACTTACCATCAGGTGAGCCGCATGCTCGTTTGACCCTTGTGTTAAAAAAAATATATTATAATTACATAAAAAAACAAAATTATAGAAAATGTTATACTGGTTATACATAAGGAAAACTTAACGGGAATCCCCATTAAGTAAAGTATATTAAGTAAATGCGCAGATGAGTGTATATATACATATGTTTATTAATAAGCAATTATCTACATCTACACATTACTTGTGAGTTATTGTGAAGCGTCTCTTGATAAAATAATTAAGTGTCTTCATTTGTGGGTGTCACTTCGACTCGTGCACACTTTATTAGCGTAAAAATCTCATTACAATGTTTTCAATTAATATCATGCAAATCTTTATTTTAATCCAATTAATTGTCCACTGTTCATGTAAGTTCACTTAAATTCAGTCATATATTTCCATGAAATAAAAATATAAAGCCAATTAAAAAAAATACATTTTCAGACGCACAACGCGACAAGAAATTCTTCAGAAGAGATTATAAATTTTTAGAGGACACGCAAAGTTTTTATAAGATTCACACTCTGGCAAGAACTTGGCAAGATGCAAGACGTACTTGCAAATTGGAAGGTGGTAGTTTATTTTATCCTGAAAACGAGGAAGAGGCAAATGCCGTAATTAAAATGTGGACCGACACCCAATCTGTAATTGATCATATTTTTATTGGTATATCGTCCTTGCTTGCTAAAGGTGTTTTTGTTACTGTCGATGGTAAGTCTTTAATGTATAATAATTATCTTTTTTGTTTATTTTGAATTCAGATCTCAATTAAAATTAAATTAAACCGATAATATGTTAGGCGAACTAACACAAAGATGGTGATACGACCAATAAAACTATTATTTTAAATATTTTATGTCGTTATAATTAGTAGGTCTGACTCGTAATTCGGTTTTCAGTTAGTTAGTCTTTTTTTGTACCAATGTACAATGAAAATAATAATATAAATTGTTATTAATATAAGTTATTTTAGAGTAAGATAAGAGTAATGTCAGTAAACTATTGCCTATAGTAAATTATACATATATATATATATATTATACTTAAGAAAAGATATGGAAAGATATTTTACATATCGACTATTTATTTGGAATGATTTGTTCATAGTCATCTACCAAGCAGTTTTCTTCGTAAGGTATGTTGCCTTTTTGGCTAATATAAGGCAGTTAAAGGATACTGAGGTATGATATCTTAGTACTTGTGAAATTCAATGTAAGAATGATATAACAGGAGTTAGGTATTGCCTGTGTGATGTGTAGCTACCTACCTACCACTATGTAATATTATGTTATCTGTGCTACCACTATTATTATGACTACCTCCTAATAATGTTAGAGAGCCTGTAACTCAAACACAGTCAGTAATAAACCGGTACTTGTGCGTAACAGTTGTTTCTATTACTACCGTGTCACCTTATACATATCACTGTGACTTTATTTATTTATATTCGTGGAAAAAACATATCATCCAAAGTGATTTTCAGCATATTTTTCAGGAGTTACAAAAAACTGTCCTATATTTTTTGTATGAGTTCTAGAAATAAGTTTCAAAGAGAAAATCGTAGGTCACAGTTGCCTTCAACTACATGTGTATATATTTTAGGATTACAGCATCATGTACTTCCAGATAATCTAAAAAAACACGGTTACTTCTATATTCCACGAAACACAAAGAACATTTGCAATCAAGGGGTAACTACAATTATTGCTTTATTTTTATGTATTTTGAAATATATGAACAAATTTAACTCTACTTAAGCCTTTATACTCTCCTATATTTCATTAACATCTAGAATTGCAAGTATAATTACGTTGTTATTTAACGAAATATCATTTTTTGTACATCGAGTTACGTATTTCTAGGGAGCCATTTATTTTAGTTTAGTTAGTGTATTTATAAAAATAGCTTTTAAAATGCGGAAAGTAACTGAATATTTAATTTGTATCATGTAATACCTACTTTTTACAATAAATAGTCTATTATGTGCGTGCATGAGTCAAAATATAACTTAGAAAATATAGGGGCAAATTATTTAGAGAATATGAAAACAAACAGGGTTATTATTAATTTATTATTATTTTTAAAGATAAATTTTTGTTGCCTCCATAATAATTTTGATAATCAAAAAATGTTCAAAATAGTTATATTTTTATTATTTTTATTAATGTTCATTATCCTCAACTTTTGGAAAAACTAAAGCAATCTGATTTCGTGTGAAATTTCATTATATATATAATAATTATTTGAAAAACACGTTCGATAGTGTGGTGATGTTTGTATCTTTATATAGATTCATCAAGTCTTTTGTATATATTTTAGGAAGATCGGTAGCGGTGCATCATACTAAAAATGCCTGAAGCATATGCTCGCTGTGTGCAGCTCTTTTTTTCTCATAATCATTCTCTATTTGTCTATTATTTGGTGTCTCATCAGCGAATGCGTATTTTATTTGGAATTTCACGGACATTGAAGATCTGCCAAATCTCTTTAATTTGACTATCCAACTCGTGTAGTAAATATATTAGGTCCTAACATATGAAATTTGACGAGGGTTGGAATACTATTACAAAACGCCAATTTCAGTTGATTTTTATATATACATTTATTTAATCAAAATATGGTCCATTGCTATTCATGCACTTTTGCCATTTGATAGGTAGTTTTATTGATCCGTTTACTAAAAAACCATTAGGACGGGTATCGATAAATCTGGATTGTTTTTTAAAATGCCTTGCAAGAAGTTCTCCAAATTTTGAAAAAAAGCAAGATCAGAAGTACTTTGGATATATTGGACATTTGAAGCTCTTCTAATTGAACGTAACGTTATCCTGAAGCAGCAGACGGTGATTGACCAGTCTCGGTTGTTTAGCAGTCTGGATTTTCCATCATGGTTTGCAATTGTGTAACAATACACATATCGTAATATTATGCCAGATATAAGAAAAATGAAAAAAATAACACAGGCACTAGTCCACTAATGCTCACAAGGAACTTTTTTTGAGTTTGAATTTTCGCTTGGGGCAGGATTTCTTAGGCTATCGATTCAGCCATTGCGATGAGGCGTTTATCGTACAAGATCCACTTTTCATAACAGGTAATGATCCGATTTAAAATCCCTTCATTATTATGCTTGGCTTCATAACGCGAAAATGATGACATCTACGCGCGTTTGTCGATTTGCTCCATTCAATTCATGATCTTTTCAAGCTTTTTTCACCTTCCCAGTTTTGTTACTATGTAGAGAGATAGCGATGGATCGCTTCCACATTAGCCTTTAATTCTTCATTATCAATATATAGGACTGTGGCTGCTCATTGTTTTTTGCAGATCGAAATTTCCAGAACGAAAACATTGGAATAAAAAAACGCACTGTATTTTCTTTTGCGACACCATCCCCATACACATCAATAATCCTTATTGTTTCACACATATATACGCGACGGATATTCGTATATAGTAAAAACGTGATATTTTATGTTTTCCATTTTGTAAACTCAGTGACGTAAAGACCAAAAACCAAAGATGGAAAAAACATATGGATTACGGTTTTCGAAAATAATAATAATGAGTAAATAACTGTACAAATTTGAACTTTGAATCCTGGCGAAAGGTGTGTATTTGAGATCAAAGTGGCCAACGACAAAATTAATAAAACATCATATGTAATAAATATTATAGTACCATCTCTGAGAGGTTTATTTAAGTAACATTTTCATAATCTGGGTTTTTCTTAAAATAAATAAACGATGCATTTTAAAACAATTATGCTTTTAAAAGAATTTATCATTGTTAGATTGCGGAGATAATGTTATTTCGAATTAATGTGTAAAAATATTAATTTGATCAATCACATTTTAGGTTTGTTTATTTTGATTGATCTATTAGTATGTTATCGACAACCTTCTCGATTTGGACCACTTTAAAACTAATCATCGTTAAATGAATCATAAAAAAATCATAATAATACATACATCGATATCGCACTACATGGTTTTCTACCATCAACTCCTACATTTTAATAGCGATATTAGTTCTACATATATATATATATATATATATATACGGGCCTTCCTGCAAGATGAACCGAAGATATCACGAAGGTGAATGACGTTGGAAACAAAAGGCGGAAGATTGTATATAAACATGGTGTAAGAAATTGGGAAATTAATAAATTATTTTCAACAATTAACAGCGCCTTTAGTCACACGGTATGAAGAGCATTTATATCAATAAATACTTAGATTTTATATACATACATGAAACATATACATAGAAAACACCCAGACCCATACAAACAATTTACTCCTGAATACAAATATCTGCACCGCGCGGAATCAACGCGACCATCGGAAGTAAATCGGTGTGCTTAACTGCTAGACCACCAAAGCCAAATTGGGACAGGTGGTGCAGTAGTCTATATCCAACTGTGGATAGACACAAGTTGAAGTTATGATGATTTTTTAATAGTTTTCAGTTTTAATATAATATTCTAAACGTGAAAGTTTTATTATATACTTAATATTTCAACTATTAGAAAACTACTGAATAGATTTTTAAAAAACTTTATAAATATAGCTTATACATCTGAATACAGGATATATTTTTTATTGAAATTTAACGCACAGCTGAGTTTAATTTTAACAAAGTAACGTTTGCGGGACCAGGATTATTGTTATGATGTACCTATTATGAACAGTTGGAGGAATTAATATTGAATATTATTACTAGCAATATAAGGTACATTTAGTTCCACGCGGTCCATGAGGGAAACCATCGACAAAGTTAATTCCTGTTAGACCTACAATAAGATTCACTGGAAGTGCTACTAACCTTCAAATTGTATATTCGTTTATCCATATTTAAAATAAAAGTATCCTCTTTTTATCTATTGTTTTTATATACAGTTTATCAATTCGCGCTTATTGATATGTCTAGTGAATAGCAGATCGATTTTTCTATCATTTATTATTACTATTCCTGGCAGGATAAAAAAATTCATCTGATCTCCTGCTCCTCCTATCATCCATGATTGGTGCGTAATTATACAATTAGCTAAAAATAGTTTATTTTTTTACTTAATTTTAATTACATGAACATATTCTTATTTTTTTTTCTTGTAAATACTTGGATCGGCTGTATTTAAAATTATTCAGAACATCAGGTATGAAATGTTACGTGTAATAAAGATAGTAACTACAACTACTTTGTTACGCATTGTGACGAGTTTTGATATCATGGGGGGAAATCATGTCAATAATCACACATAAACTATCAGCTAAAAGTTTCGTAGAAGAAGACAAAAAGTAATTAGAATTACACAATAGTCCTAGATTGTAAGATATAGGAACAAGTATTTAAGTATATGGAAGGACGTTAAACAATTTTTTGTAAATCTTCTTTTAAAATTTACGTATATATAATTATGACTTTATGAGCGGGATAATTGATAGCGAATAAATGCAAATACGCATACATCTATTTTATGCTGGAATTTTATTATTTCTAAAGTCGCAATATTTTAGTATTTTTGCATTTATTCCTTCATTTTTGTCGATAGCTTCATGAGATTTTGACAGAAGGTGTAAACCGTGAAGCTCGCTTTATTTATATAATAAAACATTTTTGACGCAAGTGTAGTTTGGCCTTTTTACACGGGATGTGCGATATCACTGTGACTTTATTTATTTATATAGGCGATGGTTATCAACATATCATCCAAAGTTATCAACATATCAACTTCAGCATATTTAATTCCGGTTACATATAAAAGCATTATTGGGTGTACTCTCTGACTTTCCCTAACTTTTCTAAAATCGCATACTATTAGATTATGTTATCTGTGCTATTAGGTATATATTTTATCCATTATTTTATAGGAGTTTCAATATCAAACGTATACCGCAATTGGGCGAAAGGTGAACCGAATAATGCGTCCGGCAATCAAGACTGTGTGAAGTTAAACAAGCTTGGCTTTCTCTATGACTATAATTGTAATGTCCAACATTCCTTCATTTGCAAGAAAACTTTGGCTTCTTTGGAATGGAATTATGCTTGTAACATGCCTTATACTGGTACGTTCCTTTCGTATGTTTTTATTATGCACTAGCTTGCAATACTTTTCACTTCAGTTCTGCTCCTACTGGTCGTGATGCTAACTAGCTAGCTTATATCTAGACTTCACTGATAAATTGGCTATAAAACTCAAAATCGGATCAAGTAGTACTGGAGTTAACCGCATTCAAAACACATACTTTTTTATAATATTAGTAGACATTTGAGTACGTACGACCAAAATCATAACTTAGAAAATATAACTATTATATTACATATGTACATACTGTATATCATATTGCTATACTGCAGCTACGTTATTAATTGACTTAAATGATAAATTTTTGTTGTGGAACAGGTTAATTTTGATAGTCATATAGGTAATTCTCGAAAGTTTTATATTGTTTAGTTTTTATTTTTGACACTATTTTACTCTAAATTATTGCTTTTAGGGAAAAACTAAAGCAATCTATCTTCGTGTGAAATTTCATTAATATATATAATAATTATTTGAAAAACAGCGTTTGATAATTCGAACTGACAACGTATGTTCTTTCAGATTATACTTATTCTAAAACATTAGGAAGATGTTACAAATTTCACCTGACACCTAAAAATTGGACTGAAGCATATGCTACGTGTAATGCAGAGCAATCATTCTTAGCTATAATTCAAAACCAAGCCGATGCTGATTATTTAGTGAAACTCACTAAAGAAGCACCCAAGGATTCTGTTCAAGGGGACTATTTAAAAGGAGCTGTAATATTGGGATTTCATAACTTAAACGACGAGGGTTGGAATACTATTAGAGGTTAGTGTATTATATATAGGTATACTCCAGGACTCGTAACTCTTCAACTGAACATTTTGATATGATTTTCTTCATTGCCGATGTTTATAACACTTTAATCAAACATCACGTCTATGTCGTCAGGTTTCCAACAAAAAAAAACTGTTATTGTTTTGGAGTTAAAATGCCTCAGACAGTTCTCTCAGACACTGTTTACGTCAGAGGTTTAGCAAAAACAAATTGACTCCTTATTGAACCAAATTTATCTCTATGAACCAAGAGATTTCAAATATCTTGCTTCAAGTCTCTAGGTCTTGGTTAGTCCAATCAGTTTTGATTAGCAATTGTGTAAATAAAAAAATATCGTGAAGTTATGAATCTAGTTTTTGACAAAATAAAAAACATAAATGTCGTCTCTTCTCATTACTTCCAGGAACGGCTCTAGAAAGAACTGGATATTCTACATGGGGCTATCGACAGCCCGATGGGGGCGACAAAGAGAAATGTGGATCCATGTTCTACAATGGCCATCTGAACGATTTAGGATGTCATCATAAGTGCTTCTTCATATGCGAAAATGATGACATTGGTGTAGATTTAGCTTTCGATGAGAGATTTGAATCTTTTTAGATGTTTTACTATGTAGAGAGATAAATCAAATTGGTATGTAATATTCTATACGAGTATATAGATATATAGTGCTGTGTGCAATCATAATTATTGTTACAGCAATAAACACTGGGAATCTCTACAGGAAAATCGTAATAAATATTATACGCTTAAGATAGCCTCAACACCTAATTATCAGCATCTCCTGTATTGTTTCACACATATATACGCGATAGTATATTATTGTATATAGTAATAACGTACAAGAATATGGCTGGGTATCTATGCAAACTTGACTAAGACCATAGAAAAGATGGTCTGTTTGTAAATAGTGTTGTGGCACTATCGTAAAATAATAATAATCAGTGATTTTTATAAGTTACTCAGAAATAATATGTGGGTGTGTATTTAAAACAAACCAACACAAAATTAATAAAACATAACTATTAATAAATATGGGGTTATTGTATCAAAATGGTTTATTTAATTAACATATGTTTAACTATAACAAAAAGTAACTGGCTCTTTCACAAAATAAATAACCTTGATCTGATGTCTTATTTTAAAAACATACATCTATTTAAAATATTTAGGTTTTTAAAAGAAAATTGTTATTTCGTAGTTTAATACCGTAAAAATATTTACTGAATTCACAAACATGTATTTTTGTGTTAAACAACACAAAAAAAAATTGACTGATAGTAATGACAACACTAGTGTACCTACGTAAATACTAGAAATATGTGGATACTTCGTAGAAACCTTTAAAACTAATCATCTAAAATCTAAAGAATACAATTCCACTAATCAGTGATTAATTTAGTTTTATGGATATCGCTATAGTGAATATAAGAAAAAAAAAAACTTATTTACGTAAATAAATATTTAGTATTACTCAAAATAACTACTATACATATATATATATATATACAGGCACATAGTAAAAAACTAAACATTTATATTTTTTCATTTATATTTAGGTATTATTTTCTGAAATATATATTAATATACTCATTAGTAATAATGACGTTAATTATCTAAGTAAGCTAGAACTCACGATCGTGATATGCACTTTGTATATAAACTTGGTTTGGTATAGCAATTTTTTATTATTTTTTAATAATGTTTAAAACACGAGAGTTATTTCAGCATAAACACGAAAATATATTTAATATAAAAGAAAAAAAATTTTTTGAAAGGGTTAGTGTACTATGGAATTGTCTGAAACCATAACACATAGCAGTGATTCCGGTGATTGATTAAGATAATCACACACGTGTACAAATTTTACACTCTCTCTTTATAATATTAATGTACATTAAATTGTATTTACTAAAAAGACATAGTGAAAGGGTCTGTCTCGTCAAGCGTGGGAATGCAATACAGTGTATGAACTATCTATGGCAATATCTTTATTAATACTGCATGAATTGAAATGAAACAAAAACAAGTGTAATATAGTATATAAGTTTATTACAAACAGCACCATATAATCGCATTGAGAAAATAATACATTGGTATAGTATAGAGAAAAACACATTAATGAAGTCCCAATAATATACTGCGTACTTTTTATTTTACATTAAGAAGATCTGTACTATAATTACTGGCGCAAGGAGTTAGGTAAACTAATTAGTATATAGTTATATAGTAGTTGCACAGTCGGAACTTAGACAATTATGAGATCCAAGAAATCAGTTTGTGCCCAATCTAAAATATTCACACTTGATCTTATATTACATGATCAGCCCAATATTGAATGTAAACTTTCATTAATGTCTATACTTCATTAATCTCAAAAACATAATATTGTAAATAAAAACTTAATAAAACAATGATTTTTATTAGCCAGTATAATATGTAGAATAAGTTGTCTCTATTCCTTTAAGTTACAAATCTAATATAACTAAAAGTATAATGTAAAATAATACTAGACCAGGTACATAAGTTAGAAATATTAACAATGTAAAATTATAACATTTCTTATTATAATTTTTTATCTGTATTTCTGTTCACTGGTCATTAAAAACGACTTTACCGACAAATGGCAAATGCCGGACGAGCGGTCCGCCGTAGGAAAGAATGTCTCGTAAGAAACCCGAGTATGACGCCATCCAGGATACCAGAAACAAATAAAAGAACACCGAAACAAGTTGGTCGAGAACGTACAGACTGAAACAAAATATTAAATCGTATTTAAATGCATATCTGACACATTCAATAATATTTTTAAAGACGTTTATAGTCTTTAAACAATGAGGACAATTAACTGGGAGCTCTTTGTATAAAAATATTACCTATTACATTTTATTATATAAAACTAATCAAAGTTTTAAATACAGCGATATTATGTATTAGTAGTTTCTGAAATATAAGAGCGACAAACAGTTTGACTGGGTTCAATTCTTACACATTATAAATATTCATATCAATTAGGTAACTGCTTGGATTCGATGTTTAATGCATGTATTTATACAATATATTTAAGATATCGAAGATTATAGAAGTATCAGTTGTCTGTCTGTCATCATCAGCAATCACCAAAAAAATACATGGCGTAGTGTAAGTTCTCCAAGAAAAATATATTACTAACTGTATCCCCTGAATCCATCCCCATTAATTTGAATAAACAGTTTCCTGTATATCAACAAATATGTAGGTAGTTAGAAGCAGAGAGATTTTTAGTAATTGTCAGATTGATCTCTACGCGGTCCCTCCTGGAAACAAACCTGGTGAATTCCCCAAAATGCACTGACTGATCTGAGAGTATGGTCATCCTATCAGCCTCCACCGATACCCCAGCGTATGCCGTTAGCGCAGATGGGTACACCATATTATAAATCACTTAGTTAAATATATTAGTAGGTCTAATTTTCTTACATATTGTTTTGCAATCTTGCTTTAGGTAGATTTTCCAGCTTTTCTTTCAAACAATACAGTTTTCCGCCAATGATACAACTTTCGATATATGGCTCATCTTCTATAATTGTTAAGTCCAACGGGAATAGTTGGGTGTCCACGTGGTTCAAAGAGGGAGCCAATGCCTTATAGTTGTGTGTATCGAACCACCACTCTCGAGTCGTGAAGTATTGTAGGACGTCTAAACCAACAGATATGCGGTTTTGGATGCGGACCATGCTGTAAAATCAATTTCAGTATATAAATAATACAGTATTTACGTACATACTTTAAGAAACTTTTTAGTTTTAGTTTTAGTTACAGAAATATTTAAACCCTACATTGATGAATGCAGTTAACATTGATTCAGATAAGTGAGAATAATTTCTATATATATTTTGAAAAAAAAAAGCAAATGCAAACAGGAATTTAAAATAGAGTTTAACCGTTACATGCAATCAATAAATCATGGTAAACTTAATTGTTTTTTTTTAATTTTTTGCAATATTTTCTCTTACTTATTTTTTACTTATAAAAAAGTTTTTTTGTATCTCTAATTAGATGACTGATGCAGCAAAGGACATAAAATAAAACATACGACTTAATATTATGGAAATCTCCAACATTTGTTCTAGGCAACATTTAAGAGAGATGGAATACCAATATGCTTTAGTTATTGTTTTTAAAGAGACAGAGAGAGAGGGATAATATAATTTTGTAATATGAAAAACTTACAATCTCTTCTGTCTAAATATGAACATCAGGAAATCTATGAAGTAAGCTGGTACAATATGGTAGAAGAATACACAGAGGCTGTGTATAAACTTGTTACTTCTTATATTTCCATTTGGGTACCACAAGGGTCCTTCGAACGGATAATTCCGAATAGTGTTTTTTCCTATGTCCAGGATATCCTTCCATGTTGTATTCCTGTCATCTCCACTAGTTAGGTTATAAACGGGGATCTCTAGGGGCCTGTGAAATAGTACTATTATTATTTTTCTAAATAGAATGACAAACAATACTAATAGTAAGGGAAGAAGTGATGAGGAGTTATGCCTATGACAAGTTATGTCATTTCACAAAATAATTCGGATTTTTCCTTGAGCTTTAAAGGGTTTTAACAATAATTATATTTGCAGTCAGCAGTATATCATCTACAACTGGTCCCTATCGGCCGTCATATTTGCGCTTACTCTCATTTTATATAACACATATACTTTTTCACACAGTCCATCTATCTTTTTTCGGTCATCGCTCCCTTTACATTCATCCACGTTCATATTAAATACCTTCATCGAAACATGATCTTCGTAATATCATAAAAAATACCTTTCAGTCATAGTTCCAATTCTGAATGCGATGACAATAATTGCATTAATTGCGCTATCCACTGGAATGACCTCCGCATGGCACTGGCCGTAACAATGCATGGATCTGATGACCCCCTTTCCAGCTCCCACCATTACACCGACGGGCCCATTTAGGTTATCCACCCAGCCAGGTAATGGTTCCCTATACGACGGTGTTACTGGAATTGACAGCATTTGTGTTATTATTGACATTCATAGGAGGTCAATGGTAAGAATATCAAACTATAAATAATTAATTTAAATAATTGAAGTTGTTTGTGACTAAGTTATAGTTATATAAAAGAGATCACCACGTTACCACGTTTTATTTGTAATATTGAGTTCTCCACGTTTCAGTCGCTGCAACCCTAATATTGTGTAAACTTAAGAGCAGCCCTTAAGTGGTAAATTATGTGTCGGTAGCAGCAATAAGAGTAATCTTATTGCTATTACCGAAACTCGTTCAAAAATACATTCTCTGATTTCATTAGATTTATTAATATTTTGGTAAAATCACGTTATTCTTTAATATTACGTATAAATAATAAAAGCATCAAATTTAATGGCATGACTTAATGGTGCATGATTACTGCAGCCGATAGCAATCATAGGATTATTGCGAAGATTATAGATATTAGTGCAATGGTAGTAACTTTAAATACATTATAGGAGTCAAAATATTATTAGTAATTCCTCCATGATAGTTAGTTTATCTGTAAGTGTAATACAAATATTGCTAGATATAGACGAGTAAACAAACGAACTGTTAAAAACACAGAACTATTGCGTTTAAAATTATTTTCAGTTAATATTAAGTTTGATAAGCAGTATAACTTTACCAATGCTCGGTCGTACAACAGTTGCCGGAAGCTGAGGGTAGCTGTCTCTCACTAGTGCTTCAGCCAGGCGTTTAGAGTACGTGTAGGAGTTAGGGTGTTTCTGATACAGGGATGAGGTAAGCAGGTTCATTTGCTTGTCGGTGAGCCAGTTAGCTGCGCGGAGCACCTCGTGGGGATCTGCTGGGGGATCGTGCACCTAGAGGATATATAAATTAATTTATACATTAGATATTGAAGTTTATTAATGTTTGGACTGTGCTAAGAATCGAACCCGCGATCATCGGAAGTAAAACGATGTACTAAGCCGCTAGACCACTGAGGCCGTCTTAGGTATGAAACTATTATAATTAAATGGCAAATCTATTACTTAGCATCGTTACATAAAATAGTGTAGAGGTAAAACTAAGTCTAAACAAATTCCAAAAGTATATAATACAGCATAAAGCAATTAGTCAAACCACAACAATTAACATTGTTGGCAGCTTTAGAAAAACGTAAATTGTTCTAAAACAGACGTTTGGTAATTGTCTTCTGACTAAAAAAGTATATGTGCCTATTGTCACTGATTCAATAGAAGATATTGTACCGTACAAGAACAGTTTATCAAAGTAATATGAGTGTTTTGACGACGACAAACATGTCTGGCGTTAATAACTTACACAAAGATTTCTCTTGTAAGTAATGAGTACCTACATACACGTAAAATTTTAAAACATACGACTTTTATGTCTATTCTAATATTATTAATGAAAAAGAGTAGATTGTTTTCGTATTTACAATGGATAAACTATAAAATAATCAACCAATTTTAAAAATTTCTCCTTTCTCCATTTGACAGGTACGATATTCCAAATTTTGTGTAAAAATATACAAAACTCTCAAAGTTAGGAGCAACCAAGCGAAGCCGTATTGGACCGCTAGTATTTAATATATCCACATGCAAAATTAGCATAAGGACTTTACTAAGTTCATCTGATTGTTAATGATATTAAAGAAAAAAGAGAAATCGCTAGTCAGATTCGAAAAAAATGAGCTATAGAATGCTAACTATAGAGTTAATATGTATAGTAAGAAAAAACTGATTAAAAATTGATCAGAGTGATTTTCATAAAAACTGAATTCCATCGAACACTTTAAGCGCTTTTTATGTAAAATGTACTGCATATATAAAATGTAGCTACCTATCTATGTGAATGTAAACCGATAATTGTAAAAAGTTACTTCAATTGTTTAACTTACTTTCTCTGCAAGTCGATGATAGTCGGGGTAACAAAAAGCTGTGGAAAGATGCACAAAGGCCGCCAGGTTTTTCATATTCTTTGCCACTTCTATAACTCTCAGCGTACCCTTGGTGTTCATGTCCAAGCCCTCCTTGAGAGGAGCTTCCAGACGCAAACTGGCTGCGAAATGGAATATTACGGATACCTGTAACAATGTTATTCTTATTTAAAATTGTTTTATTATTTTATTGTTTGTTAATTGTTATTTCAATGGTAAATTTTAAAAATAAATAACAGTTGACTTTGTTGTCTGTTATTCTCCACTGTGCCTATTATAAAACTGGATGGTGGGGTTAAAAAAATATAACACGAGTCAGCGCACAAATGCTAGTAATAATCCCACTGCTCGATCATCTTTTAAACTCACTTTTAGGCAAGGTCTTAGAAGTTGACCTTTTCACAGAAGTTCATAAATAAAATTAGAACGTTTTTAAATAATATCTGTAATAAGTATTAATAATGTCTGTTGTATAATTAATATTTAAAAAGTTTTAATACGTAAACGATTTTTATATTTAAAATGTAAATAAAATAAGAGAATGAGTGATGGACAGAAGTGTGTGGTCTCCCAACACACTTCTGTTCAGGAGTGGCTTAGAGAGAGAAGGGGCGTTTGTGGGAGACAAATATAAAGACGGCGAAAAAAGGATTAATACGTGTATGTACTTTGTGATATTAAGCGAACAAAGAGTAATAGTCACCAGCAGCCAGCAGTCAGCACGCACAAAATTATTCGTGGTGAAGCCACCAGCCAGTTTAATTATCTTAATATTAGAACTATAAAAGTTGTGTTTTATGTATAGATAGATACCTCACTATATAATTCATTGAGCGATTTCTCCTCGATTCCAAGATTATCATATAGTATATCACCACTGACTGGTATCAGCTTCTTCATAACATGTGGTTTCTCATCTCTTATTCTTGAAAACAACTGAAAGAAATAATAATCATAATAATTGTACACATACCAAGGTAGAACTTAAATAAATCGCATTTTACAAATAGGTGAGAGCGAGACTCTTACCTACTTTCGCCGCAAAGCAACTTGTTTTTTAAGCTGTTTCAGTTAAAGGGTGAGATAAGTCTAACAAAATCTTAGTGCTCTAGAATAGCAACGCGGCGTCACATGATAATGAGATGTCCGTAGGGCTGTTCATGTATAAAGACGACTGTTACCACTTAGGTAGGCCATCAGCTTGTTTGCCATTCATCCTTACTTTTTTACTAATATTACAAATGCGAAAATAACTCATGGCTGTCTGTCTGTCGCGCTTTCACGCTAAAACTACTAAACAGATTTGAATGAAATTTGGTACACCGATAGTTTAGACCCTGAGAAAGGACACAGGCTACTTTTTAATGCGAAAAAATATGTAAGGAGAGATGAAGCTGGAAGCTCGAAAGTTATTTTTAGGGTGTTGATTAAATATAAATAAATATGACATTCCAAATTTCTAAAATCTTTACCCTTGAGGGGATAAAATATAACAAAATGGGCGATGAAAGTTTGTATGAAAATTCATCATTATTGAACCTAGAAATCGTTCTAGGTTCAAAAATGATGAATTTCCATTATTTTACAAATACACAAAATTATTTTACAAATAGCACATGCAGGATATCGATCCTGCATGTCCTATTTGTAAAATAATTTTCCTAAATAATGAAAAATGCCATTCAAGTTGTATTATTCCACGCGTACGGAGTCGCGGCTTCGTCCGCGTGGAATAGTGACCTTAGATAGCTAGTATAGATATATACAATTACATATCAGAGGGTAGAAAGGTGTCAACCGTCAGCTTGAGATTACGCCCGCGATTTAATCTGCGTAACCGTGACCAAGATAAAAGAAGTAGCGTATGTCCGTCTCCATTCTGAACGCTATGTATGACAATTTTTTTATGATTGGTTAAGCTGTTAAAGAGTCAAAAATATATAATAAACAAACAGAAACAAACTCGCTTTCGCATATTACTCGCTAATAATGTAGCTCTTTATGACTGAGTTTTTTAATAGGTATTGTAGTTATTATAATTTTAGCACTGTTACATATGTTTATGATGTGTTCTCTACTCAACATTACATTTTGTTACTGGTGTCCTTACTAGGTCATTGTAATGGACTGTATGAAGGACATCCAGTTATATTACATAGATAAAAATGTTGTTTAAACTATTAATTCTAGACTAAAAAATAAAACAATTATGATATCAAGAAAACAATAATATAAGAGCTTGTTTTCACTACTTATACTCTAATAATTTCAATATGTATCAACACTCAACGATCAAATCAGTGCAATGCACAGTGCATTACATTGAGCATTGGTATACATTGCAAAATGTCCTCGTTACACTCACTGGCAATTTCCACATGTCTTCGATGCGTGACTCCGGCGATTTCCCGCGTTTGCTACGGATGAGGCCGTATATGCAGCCAATGTCTGGAACACTGTACAGGAGCTTCTCTATGAGGACCTTCCCCATAAGACCTGAGGCCCCGGTGATGAGTACTTTGCGCCCTCTATACCATTCATTTACTTCTGACGTCATCTGAATGAAATGTTAAAAAATATGTAACTTAAATGCACATGAATTCTATTGCAGATTTTAGCAATGTTTACATTTACCTATACGCATGTATAAAGTTTATTTTGTAAGTGCAATAAATGTTGCAGTCATAATTTGATTATTTGTAGAATATTATGATTACAGTTTAGACATTCAATTTACAGTTACAATTTACAGAGACAATAATAGTTTGGTTGAGGTTGATTTTCTAGCTGTTTTCCGTCTTTGATTGTTTTTTTTTTTTGAGATAAAAGATTGAGTATACTCATCCTTATACAACAATCTATCTTCATGCCTAATTTCGACAGAGATTTTTATGTTAAGTCGAGAAAAGATAACAAACAGTTGGACAGGCAAACATATGCACATTTATTACTACTCCATAATACTGGTATGGAAGGTAAAAATACCATCAATAAACAAATGCTTTTGAACATAGTACGCAATGCTTTTTAACCCCTAACAATAACATAGTTGCTTTATTTGTTAGAGGAATTGTTTGATGATGTTATTGCTTCTGGTAAATACTTTACTAAATGTGTCTATAAGGACTAAAAGCGTTCTAGAACACTGCCCTGAGAAATACCAATAAATTTCTTACTTGAGTATGTTTCCCTACAATTGTGTTAAATCTTTCAAGGCCTCTATACCTATACTAACTATTTTAAAAATAAGCAAATAGATCAACAGTAAATAATAAAGCTTATGCTTTATAATATCGTATATAGCTTAGTAAGCTATATATAATGCTTTATTGTTTACCTATATTTATTATTATACTTTACTTTACTTTTTTTCATATATTATATTATATGAATAATTATAATATAATTATATGAATTTTAATGAGACTAATAATTTATTTTTATAAACTACATTTATATTACATAGCTGTCATAATTAAAATTAATACTTATTCTTAGGAATAAGTATTAATTTTAGCACTAATATGACCTAAGCCTAACGTCACTGTGTATTATCAAACAGATGTAAATGTCTATATGTGTTATTAAGTAAAGTTAATTATTTCACACTTTTGATATAACTTATATTATATAGATAAAAATAGAAATAATCTTTATTCAAATAAACCTAATATAAACATTTTTGAACAGTCGTATTTCTTTCTGATTTTACAACTCTTTCGAAAGACTCATCCCATGAACAATTGAGCAAAAATGATGCGTATATGAGATCTTAAAGACTATATTAAAATGCCATATGTCTGTCGTCTAACGATTTCTCTTATAATAAAATATTGAATATAGTATAATGCTGACGCGATGGAATTGGTAATGAAATCGAAAAAAACAAATTGTAATATTTTCCCTACTTATTACATTGTCGATAGTTTATTACAGAGATATGTAGTGTATTTACATTTATTGTTTACTTTTAATCATAAAATTGATTAATATTTTTCGATAAGAGATTACGATTCTAAAATTCACATTTCTTTTATGTATCGTAGTCTCAAAAATAAATTAGGAAGTAACTTACTAAAAAGTCGTTTCTTAAAATTGTATTTAGGTAATGTATTTAAAAATATGATATAATCATAATATTGTCAATGTATTCAGTTAAAGTAGTAAATAAAAATAATGAATTAGAAAATTTACTATTTTAGAAAGTAAATTAAGATAAATCTAACGTTGGTATTGGCATAAATACATGCTCAAACGCATTTCACAGGAGACTAGTCCTTAGTCCCGCTGATGAAATTGCTAAATTTTGACATATTCTAGAGTCCTTCGGACTTGTTGTAGCTTCAAGATTTTCTATGCGTTATGCAAGTACAGTGAGAAAACATTACGAGGATGTAATCTCGCGCACAATCTTCGTTGCAGTTATGTGGTCAGAGGTGTGGTAAATACGTAGTTACGTTAAGATGCAGATACGTACTATGTTGCAGGTACAACGTCTAGTAGAATGTTATTTTACCTTGGAGACTAAGTTCTATTAGTAATTACTCCTGTGAGTGTACTTCAGATTGATGGTTCGTTCCCGATGATGTACTCGTCAAACCAAAGACTTGCTGGTTTCACTCCAACCTCTGCAAGAAGTATATGTAAGGTTTTTATAAAATTATAATGCACGTATTGAGTAAGTTATTTTCATGATATACTATAAGACTAATTGCTGTTTAATTAATATTGAAAAATATTTACAGGTGTACTCAACTTACGTGGGCTTAGATATTGTTAGACATATTTCTGTCATCAAGCAATTATCCTTATGATAACCCGTGTTACGGTTCATAGAGTGATAAAGAAATTACATACTTAGTAGTACACAAGTACACAGTACACAGTAGGTCCGTAGTTCTGTTTATATTTATAGGCATAGCAACAGATACCAATCTCTATTACATCGGTTTACAATTAAAAATATATAGTTCGATCCCAGTCACGTAAACATTGCAACAATTTTAGTACTTGAATATACTCGTATTTATAAACAACTTACGCAAAACTCCTTTTGATCCTGTAGTAAGTGGGCATATTGGTATGTTAGTTAAGTAATCATAGTAAACGTGAATACAACCTATCCGGTTTATAGAAATACACTTTTGCTCGTAGTTAAATATCAAATGAGTGAACTAACAAGTTTCCTATCGTCTAACAAGTTTCAATCTAGCAAATAGATAGGAAAATACTGGATACCATAACAAGAAAATAAGATAGAAGTAACAAGCTACAGTGCAAAGATAAACATCATCATCAACATCAACATTTTGTCTATTGAATTCTTAATCAATAGACAAAATGTTGAAACTCAATATATTTTATATATAATATGGTAATGGTTCTTGGAACTAAAATATTACTTCGTTCGTAGCTGCAATTTACTAAATGCTATATGACATTAAATCGAAGGCGATGTTGTCATCTCTATGATGTGTGTTATCCCAAACGAAATGCTTGAAGTTGGTTATGTGGCGAAAACTTAGAGAAAACAATTTGAGATACGTATGACGTAACATATTTTCCTGTTCAGCAACCTTGTATTCCGTCTTTCTCCTTAGACCAACACGCGCGCAGTATCTTACGTACTCGGTTGTTAAACAAATATTTGGATATACCGCTACGCCTTCGCCTCATTTCATGCAAAATGCTGTCGTTTTTATAATTACTAATTGCTTTGATCGTCCGAACAATCCAATCGTCAAATAAAGACGCATTAATAAAGAATTGTGTGGAGAAGAACTATTAAATTTCGATTATAAATTTGATCTTCTTACCATTCATATTCATAGCCGTTTTTGGATTTATGGACATTGGCAATAGTATTTTACGATACTACCGTATGATAAATTAGTGCCTATTATTTTAGACCAATCCTACAAATTCTCTTCCGTCGTGTCTTCTCCGAATTTTATTTATTTCAAACATGCTAAGTAGCTAAAAGTTCATGAAGTTTCTTGGATGCTCAACTAGGTTTTTTTAAATAACTGTAATGGTAAATAACTTAACGGTCGACTTAATAAAAAAATGGTAACATTTTACTGTAGACAAACAGCACCTTAAAGTTTTGAATATAACTACTGGTGTATCCTCTGAATTTATAACTCTGGTCATTTATAGACATTGCTGATGATCAAGATAATATGCAGCCCATGCAATGCTGGATATACACCAATTTCACTGCCATATGCGGCTTTTATAATTAACCGTCGAACATCACGAAATCGAACGATTTTATCGTCGCGGTTCAATAGAGAAGTAAATTAATAATGCAGTTGTATGAAAACACTTTAAAAATTCCTTCGACGGCCTACTACGAGGGGGCACGCTACAATAATATAGTGTGATGAATATGTCCATATTTTTCTAACCAAAACACATCTAGCAAGCTCCAGTTTGCGACAAAAATACGCGAACGACTTTATCTCCCGTGTCCGCATAGTTCACCGGAATATCTGTTGTTGTTATTTAGCACACCGCTTTGCTTCCGATGGTCGCGGGTTCGATTTCTTGCACAATACAAACAATTGTATACATGAGTATGATTGTTTGTAACGTTCTGGGCGTTTTCTATGTATATTATTCACAAATAAAAATATGTAAGCACTTATATCAGTTGTCTAGCACTCTAGCCCATAACACAAGCTCTGTTTACCGTAGGACTAGATGGTGCTGTGTTAATTGTCCCGGGTTACTTATTTATTTATTTATATGATGATCCATTACTTAAGTGAATGCTTATAAAGTAGAATTACCTGTGTTCAATTAGCATAACTTGCGCATAATTTTTTCGTCAGATAAAGAACCATTTTAAGGGGGTCTTCCTATGTGATGGGTTGAAAAAATCGATTTTTTTTTTCATAAATTGCTCCCTTAACATGTCTAGAATACGGTAGTAAAGCGATTTTAGAAAATTCGAAGTCGTTTTAAAGATACAGCAGGTAAAAGAAAGAGCGGTTCGGAGCGGTGAGTTGGCAGTTAGAGACCGGGCCTATTGTGTACCGTCGGCTTTATACCTGGCCTCCCTTTTATTAATATATTTGTTTATACAAGTTTAGACACGTTTCTACAGACTTCGGGCTGTTAAAAAGGATAAAACCAATAAAGGAATAGGAGGAAAAGGAGCAGGTAAACTTACTGATAAAGTTATCCAAGAAATTACAAAATTCTACGGATTAGCAATTCGACGCCATCCAGATTCGCTTGAAGATATGAGAAAGGAAGTTTGGGCAACGTACTATCACAAATGTTCTTCTGATGAAAACCCTCAGCATCAATTTTGTCCAGAAGGCGAAGACAGTTGGTGTAAATGGCGTAAGGCTGAAGCTAATAATGAACTGGACCAATTTCATCACGATAAACCACCTCTAATTCCGCAAGTCCAAGAAGCTATCAAACCGGTTTTCGAAGATTTATCGAAAGACGAATTATTAATTCGTTGTTTAGGAGCAGAGACACAAAACAATAACGAATCTTTGAATCTTTGATTTGGACTTTCGCTCCTAAACATCTTCATTCTGGTCCCAAAGTTGTTGAAATTGCTAGCTACTTAGCAGTTATTATCTTTAATGAAGGTTTTCAAGGTATTTTAAAAGTTATGTCGATTATGGGATGCCCTGTTGGTCGTGAAGCCCAAGCGTATGTTGAGAAACGGGATGAAAAGCGAATCTTACGCTCTGAGCGGTGCGTAAGTGATGTCGTTAAACAAGCCAGGATTGACTCAAGAGCTGAACAATCTGCTTTAAAAGAGTTTCACGAGGAAGAGGAAGGAATACTCTATGGACCAGGCATCGCCGATTGAGAGTAAGTTGATATTTTAATAGTTTTTAACGGACTTGAAACTTTAAACGCGTTTTTCTCAAAACTGTGTTTTTCAAACTTTCCTCCATTGTATCTCAGAAACGGCTGGACCGAATTACTTGAAATTTACAGGGCACACTCAATATATGTAAACGCATGGAATGAACTATTATCAATCGAAAAATTTCAAAACTTCGATTTTTTTATAGCAAAAAACAAAAAAAAAAACGCCTAATTTGCAACTTTTATTTCAAATGTCTATCAAAAATCCAATTTTTTTTATATTCATTTGATTATAGGTCATTCCGTGCTTTTAAGCCTACAAATTAAAACGCCGTTTTTTTTTTTTTCAGATAAGCCGATCAGCCGGAATCGTGGAGGAAGTGGGAGCTCTTTTTTTCGAGGCGGGGGTGTTCAGAGCGCTGTAACTCTAGTTTGACTGAATATTTTTAGCTGAAATTTTATATTTATACTGTCCAAATATGTGTTCATAAATGATAAAAAACTTGAAGCTCTAAATATTTACTGGTCGTAGAAAAAAAATCCTAAAATATCCCTAAAAAACAGGCCGTCACATAGGAAGACCCCCTTAAACTGGTTTATGACGTGAATGCAGCGATCCTAAATACGAGTATGCGAGTGAATTGATTCACCTGCAACTGTACTTACGTACAGGTTTCATGGTAAGTGGTTATATTGATCTGTACTATTATTATGAAGTTGAATAATATATTTGTTTGTTTGGTTAAACACGTTAATTTCAGGAAAATTCTTGTAGTGTTGGAGAGTTTATTATCAAGAAACTCTATCTCTACATGTGAGGGAAACAAAGTTGGGCAGGTCAGCTAATAAGGATATAGAATACATATACATACACATAACATTACTTTCTGTAACACATGCATGTAATAGTTGTTATACAAATATTTATTATATTGATTAAAATTCGGTTAACGAATATTGGTAAAGTGATTAATTTCAAATTTGCTGATTGTTTTTAAATACTAATATTTTTATTATTAGTTTTTAAAATATGTGTTAATAAATAATAATAAAAGTGAAAGGGAGTTTGTTTGCTACCTTAATTCCAACTTGAAATATGGAATAAAAACATGAAGGTTGCGAAGGGTATTCGAGATGCTTAAGGACATATTTATCCAAGACAATCCAAATACAATTAAAATAATATTTTTGTAACTATTTGGTATTACCAAAAAAATCTAAAACCATTATATTTTAATAAAGCTGAATTCAAATTCAAATTCATCAAATGTCAAAGAGTTGCGTTGACTACGACGTCGTAGTTTACAGTGAGTGTATTTCAGTAATATTTTATATAATTTATTTAAAATATTACTTCTAAATTAGGTATACACTTGTGAAAATTGAACTATTATTGTATATCGCTAAATAATTTAGACACGCATACTGATTATACTATATTGATATGTAAGGCAAAGTTTTCTTTTTCCACTCAAAACTTATTATATAAAACTTTAAAAAAAAATTAACCAAAGCCTAATTATTTACGGCAATAGTCGTTACGCTTATGAACTTTAAATAATTAATAAAACGCAAGATATAGAAATTGTTACTAAAATATTTTTACACTTAGTAATTAATATTGAACGTGAAAACATATATTTAAAAAGTGAAAACTGGCTCACCGTAGTATCCATTTACAGTGCTGCAACCGTCAAGAACGCGGCAGGTTCGCGGCAGCGCGTGCGCAACCAAACTGACTTGTTGTATAACAGTCGACAGTGCAGCGCATGGATGAGAATGCCTGCAGGCTTTGCATGTCGATAAAATTCATACTTTTTTCTTGCTCAAACAAAGGATGTAAATATTACGCCAACTGATGTTCGGTAATTCAAGTAGGTACTTAGCAATAAATATACTGAAAAAGTGAAAATATATCACGTAATGATTACGCAGGTCGGTAGAGTTCCGTAATTTTGATCAAAACTATTTCTCAGTTTCATAGCGCATACTTGGTATAGAAAGATGACATGTACAAATAGTAATTAATTTCTACATCTGTCTAAACTGCTTAGGAATATCAGGTGGGAGAGATCAAGATCAATCTATCATGAAGTATCATCTATCATCCTTATTTTCGAATCCCTGTAATACCTACGTTGACAATGTTTAGTACTAAATCTTACTAGACCATCTACTGCCTGTTCTGTTTGCTGATAATTAGACTTTTTAGTTGTGAGTGTAGGATACATTTACATTATTTGTCTCTATCGCTGCTTCCTCCCATAGATTAAAAACTATAACACGTATTATTTAACACTTTATTAGTAAACCAAATAAAGAAACCACGAAGTTGGGAAGTAATCTATATTGATATAGATACTAAGTAGATATCTTGATGACTCTTTTAAGAGTAAGGAGTGAGTCAAATTAATCTTGGAAATCACGGGTAATAAATTAAAACCTTTGAAGCGAAACCACAGCGATTTCTTATATCTTCCTGCTAATGAATTATTTTACTAATTATTAATTTCACTTTTACAAATAGGCTGTCAAGATTGTGAGGATTATAACTTCTTATCTAAATTACTAGACAGTTTGTCGAAAATAAAGAGAATTTAGTTAACATTCACATGTAAACCAGACCCTCCTTTTGACTTATGTAAATTAATTCCATAAGAATTTCATTTCCATTTCATTTTTTACTTTCCATAATAATTTCATGTAAACCATATAATATATTTGCAACAATAGGACTTCCTAACTATATATGATTCACTGTCTGTCTGTCCAATATGATAGTGATGTCTTTGTCTCTATTTACTTCTTAATAGCTAAAGTATAAAATTGAAAAGAATTAAGAAATATCTTAAACTGAAATAAGACAAAAAAATAGTCAGCTTAATTAACGAATGAAGTTATCAAATCTCGTAACTATTTTCATTGTTTCATCTACCCGAAAACATATATAGATCTCAAATATAGGTAGAATATGTCGCGTTCCTAATGGATACATCTTTGTAAACTATACGGCGAACTAAGAAGCATGTTTTGAGTAGATTCTGATCCTTTCCCACTTTTCCTTTTCCTAACTAGGTACCTACATTGAACTATAAAGACGATTGCCTCTGTAACTTTATGTTCTGTATGGTTCTAATCTACATTTAAGAAAGTAAGGGATTGAAATAGTAACCCCACTGCTATCAATTTGGTAGCTTTGGTAACCATCGCAGTTAATTCGTGGTGATGAGCTAATTGGCCCAACTTCAGGTTCATCCTATCATCCTTCAGCTTCATCCTTACCGCGCCAGTAGGTATATACCGTTAGCGCAGGCGAATACACTATTCCATTATCATCCATTAAAAAATTTAAATAGGGGAAAGGGTTAGTAGGTTTGTTAGTAATGGATAAATAATAGACTAAAGCAATGTATCGAATTGACCTCCACACGGATCCCCCTGGAAACCATCGTGATAAATTCCTGGTGGATTTGCCACAATGAGCTGACTGATCTGATTTTATATACATCTTATCATCCTCCATTGATTCCCTACCAACATAAACCATTAGCGCAGCTGGGTTTCATTCCACCATTAAAAAAGTAGTTACTTAAATAACCAGGAGAATGCTTATTTTTAGAATTGACTGTTAAACTGTGCGTTTGTGCATGCAAATGTTGTAGTAAACGTCCCATAACACTTATACCATCAGTTCACAGACAAAAAAAGTTAATTTATATTGTTATTCAGAATGACATGCGTGCGAGTAGTAGGCAAAATAGATAATAGCACAGATAATATATTACATAATAATAGTAACTAGAAAATAGTAGAGCCGATACGTTGTTTTGCCATATAAAATAATCAGCTATCGTCCGCCGAGAGTAGAAAATTATTAAAGCATTATTATCGCTAGTAAAAAATGGGTGTTGTTGGTAGAAAGATGAAAATTTTGAGTATTTAACGACGAAAGCATAACAAATACATATAATATTTTTTGTTAAAAAAATACACAATAAAAATAGGAGTAGTAAAATAGTCAGCCGTACTGAATATACACATAAAATTTCATACGAAGAAGTTTCGGAAAGGTTTAGTTACAAACACTGAAACAAGAATTTTGTATATTACCACAGATAACATAATATTACTATAGATATAATAAATACACAGTTTACTTACTACAGTTGGTGATATATCTATTTGAAAGAGCCATCTTTAAGATTATGATAACATTACTACAGCATTGATATAGACAACATTTAGCAGCGTTATGGTAAAACGTTTGAGCTCTTGGCATACTTAATAATAATGTAATGTTTCACTAGATGGCGTGAAGGTGACTGTAACACTAATTATATTATCTGTGTATATCCGCGAGAATTTAATTATGAAAGCATGACTTCGTGTTCGGTATAACAATGGTTTATTCATTTTAAACCGATTTGAATATAATAAACAATGTTTAAAATGAATCTTACAAGTTACAATAATATTTATACAATATTTATAATAATTTTTATACAATATTAATAATATTATGTTACTTAGTGAAAACCTCGCCCAAATTGATTTATACATTTCTGAGATAACTCTAACAATACTTTTACAGATAAATACGTATAATTAATAGAATGCTTTCATTTTTAACATTTTTCAAAACTATATTTCATTATAATTTGTTCGATGTACTTGGATCCAATAAATATATTACTGAAACCGATTCACTTTGTAGAGATTATTGCGTCATCAGACAAACGGATCATCATCAGGTTCACGTATATTTGGAGTTCTCTGTACGATAAAATGCACATTTGCGTGATTTAATAATAATTGAATATTTACTCGAATATATCGAATATATCCATTCACTGAAGAAGCAAAGTACGTCGCGGATGTTACCTGCAACATCACACGATAATCGATAGGGCAGATGATATGATCACACCTTTTATCGCTTTTATAATAACAATAATGAGAAAGATGAATATCAAATTCATGAAAAATTGAAGTTGGCAATAATTGGCCTTGACTTACTTTGATTATTTATGGTTCTATTAATTTGTACTACGTGTTGGCAAATACAATGTTCCACCTGGGGATCTTATAGCTTATTTATAATTGTATAAAATGAAGTTTTCTACTCATCTAATCGGAAATGTGTTCATAATAGGTAATATTATTCGTTAAAATTGAAGCAAAATCAAACACTTAAAGTATTTTGTCACAATATTGAGTTTAGAATTGCTGGAAAAAAGAAAAAAGAACAGTTGGTACAGTATATGAAATAGGGTTTTAAAGGTAGTAGAAAAGATCGACAATGACATGTAAATAAAATTATTAATTTGATCGTTATACTTATAGGTGTCATGTTTCGCCAAGTGTCAATCTGAAGTCGCAAGCATAACAAGGTAAAGAGAAAGTTGGCCGCCCACAATTCACTGCTTCTTCGTATTTCGTGCAGTAAAGCTCTATCGTATACACATGTGCTTTTGCATTTAATTTGTGTAGTTGAGTTTAATGTGTATATAATTTTTTATAGTTATATAGTTTATACAGTTACATTTTTAAGGCAGTGTATTAAAGTCTTACAGTTTTATGATGGGGACCATTAGATAAATGGTGTGCATTGGTATTAAATTCACGAATAGCCGTCAACAATCTAGTTCGATCAACACTAAGCATATCAAGTACTTGAGGATCGTGTATCATAGATTATAATATGAATTTTATCGAAGATCTTGTCGTGGGCGAACCTGTGCTCAGTTAATCTTATTAAGCTGCCGTGTGTAACCAGAATATTAGTAAGTCGTTCGCGATCACCGGTGCTTGCCATATGATATATCATCTGGCTGTACCCGGCCTTGTTATTCAATATTGTCATTCGATCTGATATAATTTGATACGCATAAATCACGGAGCAAAATTACATTCAACGATACCAGGAATAGTAACTTCAGTTGGTCGCAATACTCATAAGAAAGAACACGAGGTGCAAGCAATGCGCCGCACGGAGCCATCATCGCCGCAAGGCGCAGGACGAGGGAAAAGCCTGATAGCTATGAGAACGAATCAGGCACAGCAACGAAGGATGCAAACCAAGAGTCAATTACCAAGGAGCTATTCATCGCCAGCACCAGATAATGATCTAGACAATACAACGTCTCAAAGCAACGCAATGAAAGGTTATGTAACCAGAAGCTTCTCATCTCCTGAACCTAAGTACGTTGATTATAGACGTAATTCTGATTCATTCTATAGACCAAAAACTCACGGCTCCAGGGGGGAATTAGATTCGGACTTTGACAATTTTGGACCGTTTGAAGAAGGTTTTATGGATATAGACGCGGACCAAGATGACAATGTTTTGGGCACCGTCAAAAGAAGCTCTGAGAAGAATACAGCTAAAAAAGTGGTAACGTCTTTGTTGCCTGGCAGTGGGTTACAAAGAATTTCGATTAGACCCATTTCTTCGAGTACTACTCAATCATTGCAAAGCGCTGGAGATGTCATGAAACAGATGCATAAAGAAGAGAAATGTAAGTATTTTAAAATATATATAAAGAAAACAGTACACATTTATAAATGATATTTACCACGATAATATAATTTAACAGCTACAGATACTATTCACAAACGTCCTGGTCACGGGTCGACCTCTGACGGATGTTTATAACAATATCGAAGTATCATGTTTATATAATGTTTACAATTGTAACTACCGTGAAATAAGTTTAAAATAAAGAAACCTGTCGCCATGACTCTGTCAATTATCAAATTCAAAACTATTATCTAAGCAACAATTTACAAAGAACACCATTCTGTATGTACCTATTTAGAGAAGACGGTAGATGTTACAGTATTCAATATTCAAAAAACCTTTGTAGGTTTTTTGAATATTTTCCCCATTAACAATTTATTGATATTTAAAGAATTTATAGTTTAAAATTTTAGATTAGAAAGCACTTCTTAAAAATGTATCTATTAATGAGTTGAAATAGAGTGTTAAAAATTGTAAGGAACGTGCATCATGTACTATTTCGCGGTCTAGAGATTTTACGTTTATAAAAGTATATATAGATTATAATAAAGATAAAATAGCATTTTAAATGTTCTTTTGAAAGGTAAAAACACATATTGTATACCTACATTACATTTGTAATATGGCAGCTGTTCTGTAGAATTGCTAATACAAATCAAAATTCTAATAAAAAAATAGATAAGTATTTCTACATTTTATCTTAGAGAAGTTCTCCTGGCAAATGTTTCGCCCGGACAAAGCCGCGGTGCGCTGCTAGTAAGGATATTAGATAAACTTTTCGAGTTAAAATGAAGGTTGTCTAATATCGCCTTCACGACTTGTTTACAAAATTATGTATGCAAATAGAAAGATTAGAATTATGTAGCCGTGTACATACTATCGAAATTAATGCGGGCTAAACCGAAAAAATGTAGGTAGGTTTATTTAAATGCATTTAAATGTTAATCCACAGTAAAGTGCGGAGTTAAGTTATTGATTTAAACAATAGGTCGTTAGTTTGTGGCTGTAAATGTGTGTTATTCTAGAAAATGCTATTCATATATTAGAAAAATAACTTATTCTAAGATCTCTACAAATATCTCGATACAAATCATAAATATTGTAAAAGAATTTATAAATAAAAACAGAACACGCTTTATTCAAATAAGTTTATATTAAAAGTACTATTAAATAGTCGCATTTCACATACAAAGAAACTACTAGAACTCATATTTTTGTATGTATTTTTTTCTTACAAAATTTACAGACGGTCGTCTAAACTTCAGGCCAATGGTACTAAAAATGCCAGCGCGTCACTCCGTCCGGGAACAACAAGAGGTACAAGGAGTTGAGGAGCTACAGTCGTCTCCACCGCTGGAACTCGAAGCAGCAGAACTAGAGAGAGAGCTAGATAGAGCTGAACAACATCTTGAGAGAGAAATTTCTATTGCCACGGAGGAGAGTGATGGTGATACGGTAAGTTTGAATATTATATTGTACAGTGCTTGTTGACTATAGTTTTTCCAATTTGTATAATTTTTCAAGAATATTACTGGAATCGTAGCTATTATATATATTACAAATTATTATATATATTTCAGCGTATTATATATATTATATAATATTACAAATAATAAGTCATTCATATAGGTAACACATATGTATGTATATTGTGATGCAAATTCCCTTTCAGTGCAGACAGACTAAAATGAGTGCGTCGTGTAATCTAGACACAAATCTTGCTTCGATTTCCTTGTTGTTATTTTAAATATTTTTCACCGTACTATTTATAGAATTCGCGTTAGTTTGTACATTGAATCATAGAATTTAAATAACCTACTGAATCATACTGACTGCTCGCAGTTTAAAGCTCAAGGATGTCCTTTGGTTTGTCACATCAGGTACGTATCTAATTATAATAGCGTTATAGTTGTTACACCTGACTTCATCTACTATTTTTATATAAAAGGTACTTTTTTAACATGATTGTCCACGTCTATCCTCACATCAAACATCCATTCACACGTGAGAAGGTAACAAACAAACAGGCACACAGTCACATTTACAATAGTAGTTTTTTATGTCATACATTTTTATTTTTCTGTTATACTTAATACAAGATTACTAATTACTAATCTTAATAACAGAAAAACCCTATTATTAAGACATTTACAGTGTCATTGAGATTAAGATGAAAACTTTTTATTTGTATCAAATACAGATTAGTTGTTATATTGTGCTACACATTTTTTTATATTATATTCTAACTTGGGAAAACCAGTGCAGTACAGGTGCCTCCTGTATGCATACGTAGAACTGGGTCCCAAGGGTGCCTTAAATTAAATATCGTTTTAATAGTTCTTTTAAATAGTATTTTCTTTATTCACATAAATTATTTTTATTGGCAGCAATAAATTATTGTTGTTACTCGCGATTTCGTCTGCGGTTTTTGATATATATATTTTTATAAATATTCTTTTTCCGTCTTCTACAGAAATATTTTCCTCGAATAAAATTATATAGAAGTTATATAATTACGTATTACTATAATATACTTATCCGGTTATAATTATTCCTCCAGATTCATCCTCAAGTTCTCCTCATCATTCATCCTCTAGTGAACTACATATAATAAAAACAAATTTTAAAAATGTTGAAAACTGATTTATGTAGTTGACTTTCCTAAAATTTGTTTTTATATGAGTGTGTGTATGTATTTTTTTCTTCTTTGTACCGATCTGATTGGAGCTATTTACCGAACTAAGCATAATCAAGACATGAAGCTGAAATAAAAATCCATAATATATGGATTTTTATTTCAGCTTCATGTCTTACATGATATACACGTAAATACTTACGACCTACTTGAAAATACTTACTTTTGGTTTTGATCCAATTAACCAACCGGAGTAGAAATAATTTTGTTAACATTTACTTTCCAGCATAGAAAGGTTTGGATTTTAGCCATCATTAAAAGTAAAAGAAGCAGGTAGAATTAAGAATTGTATTTCACCTGTTTATACTTTGCAAAAACTAGTTTATCGTGATGAAATGCTAATGCTCTACCATTATTCCGGCACGCCATGGCACCTCGAGGCACGCCTGTGATTTTTTTTCCACCAATATTCCCACGGAGGCAAGGATTTATATTAAACTGGCTACTCGCCCCGGCTTCGCACGGGTGTACGGTTATTATATATATAAATCTTCCTCTGGAATGTCTCTAGCTATTTAAAGAAACCGCTTCAAAATCTGTTGCGTAGTTTTAAAGATTTAAGCATACATAGGGACAGACAGATAGCGACAGCGACTTTGTTTTATACTAAGTAATTGCAAAAACCCCACGTATTCCACTCCGCCTCCGTCGATAGACGACAGTCATGGTAGGATTTTTTCACACGTTTACAAAGTTTTAGATTTAGTATTACTATTATTCTGTAGCATTCCATATAAGTTTTCTCAGCATTTTGTACATCAATCACACGTCAGTTAAAGTCACCAAAAAGATTATATTTCGTAACAATTACTTATTTATTTACTATATTTTCAGTTATTTTTAATAGTAGAAAAAAAAGATTTTGTCGTTGGTGTGTTAATTGAGTTCGTGAAAATAAATAACAGATATATATATATACTATACATATGATACAGGGCTTGACAACTGGTAAAAAACTGGACAAGCACGTTCGTTCCAGTAACAGTTGACGAATGGCACGAGACGAGATTACGCCACGGTCTCGACCGAGTTTTAGATGCGTCTGTATTTATATTGGTTACCCCGATCGTCAAGTTTTATAGGTCACTAAACCACGACCATAGTTCTCTTTTCCATGCGTCTAACGAAGCTGTTTTATAAAAAATATATTTGTATAGATATATAGTAACATTATTATAATTTTACCAGAATTATTTTGTAACTTTTGGAAATAAAGGCATAAATGCATACACACTTAGATGCATATTTTTTGATCTAATTACCAATTTTAGCAAGATTTTCGTGACTCTACAATGAAGTAACTACATACTGTTACTTTCGTTGAAGGTCTTGGCAGTCGTGTATTAAACAAGTAACGTACAATTTATGTCTCTTTTAGATGAAATGACATAAACAGCATACTAGTAGTGTAGTCAGTAATATTTGCGAGGTCGTAAGTCGTAATATTTTCCTCTAATACTTCGTTTACTAGCGCGTGTACGAGTAGCTAGTCAGTGTTTTGAACTGTTTGTTTACTATGGTTACAGTGTAACACGTGCGCGGTGCAGCTCTCGCGGTATTATCTGCTTCTCGTGCGCCATTCGATAACGATACATCATTGCACAACACACAAACATAGTGTCTCGTTATAACATTTCGCGATTCCTATTTACAATTTTTTATGTTGTCATTGGCAACACGATTAATTGAGGTGCAAGTCGAGAGGTGAAAGGAGCGTGTGGTGCTACGGTTCCCGTGGCAGCTGAATGTAAACATCGCGTGATCGATAGAACTGTAACGGCGTCATCGCGTGCCTTGCTCGACGACTCCACTCTGGGTGGTAGTTGGATTGCTTCTCGTCTAGTTGTCGGGCATTTGAGTGGAGCGATGCGCGTCTAGCCAGCACACCAGCGGGAACAATAAGTACGCCTTGACCTTGCGGCGCGCGGGGGGCAGCGCGCGATGACGCCAGCGCGGTCGGCACGCGGTTCGGCTTTCGGGTGCGATCCTCCGCGGACGCTATCCGCGTAATCGGTGGTCAGCGTGATTCCAAAGTTGTGTCGAAAATATCGGGGCGGTGGGCGTTACCACAACGACGGGGTCTCTCGCGACGCTCTCATTCCGCGAACCGGCGCCGACGCCGACGCGCTTCGAACGACCGACCGAGCCGACTCCCGATCCCGTCCGTGTGTACCGCGACATGCGCGTGCACCGACATGGGTAATGTGCAGTGCTGCGCCAGCGGACGCTTCCACGAGGGCAAGCCCCCCAAGCCGAAAGATAAGAACCAAAAAAAGAAATCTAAGGGTTTAAATAAGAAAACAAACGGTGTTAGTGGTGGTAAGAAAAACGGTAGTGTACAGAAAGTGATAACCGTGGCGGAGGACGGGTCAGAGCGCGCTGCGCCCGTTCAGGCGCAGGCGCAAACTTCGCCAGCTGAAGACACTCGTGGGAGCGACCCTCCACAGTATGATGCTGCACAGCAGGATGCGACGCAGCCCACCGACCCAGAGCACAGCGAAACGGATGGTCAGAGAGCCGAGTCGATGGCAATAGCGAGAGAGCGCTTTTTCAATCAGGTATAAAAATATTATACGTTTCAAAAGAATATATTATTAATAGCTAATATGAACGCTGTGCTTGCGGTGCGTGACCAAATAATCCCTTTATCGTTGCGGAACGAATCTGGCGTTCGGTATAGGTCGTTCTGCTTTGCATCAGCTAATATTATACTGTGATAACTCCTCAATAGCTACGAGTTACAACATTATCTCAAGCCGAATTAGAATCAATAGAACAGATGTATGTTTATTTATTCGTAATGTAATAATAGCAATGTATAAGTTATTAAATACACGTATATACACCAAATTAATCGATCAAATATGAAAGTCGGTGTGGTATAAAATCTTTAAATAATATAGAAGTTTTTAAAGTAGTATTTATGTTTATACATAAAGGTCACAATGCTACATTTACGGTTCGCAGAGATCAAATTTGTTATAATATATATTTTGACGTCTAATTAGATAATTACAGCATTGAAACAAATAAGCCGGCACCAAGTCTTTGATATAATTAATTATTTACATAACGCTTACGTTTATTACTACAATGTTTTGATAAACCTGATAAGTAGCCATACCTATAATAGCCACTTATCAAATTTGGCGAAAAAACATTCATGTTAGTTTATATTCTTATGATCTTAATTTGTTTCATTTAACGAATCACAACAATTAATAATGTTTTCCAAAGGAATACAAATGTATTATAATTATATATAGTTATTTATATATATATTTCATAAAGACTATGGATCGAAATAGGAAAATATTACGTATAAATATAAAACTATATATATGTTTTCCTGTCTACTTTAGTACGCACGGTTATATAAAAATAAACAAATAATACTCAGATTATCTGCCAGCATCATCTAGTACCTAAATATTGCATTGTATTATGAAGACTGACAACTGACAATTTAAATTACATTTTTAAATTAATATCCAACATGAATGTTAGCTTGTAATCACGTGAATATCATTGATAAGATCTAACATCGAAATATACACAATTTATCGGTTGATAATAATTTATTAGTGTAGACAAATTTGTACTCTCTCATATGGAATGGTACTTCCGCCTGGGCTAACTGTAAATTCAGACTAGGACGACAATATGATGATGAAGAAGTTCAGATTAGTTAGCCATATAGTACCTATAGTAGTGACAGCTCATCAAGAATTTATTACGATGGTAAATAAAGAGGAAATGT